TGTGGCATTTCATAGTTTGAAATTTTCAACTTTTAATTTTTTGCCAAAAAGTCAAAATATTCCATGTGGCCAAAAAGGCCATCTTCTGACCAGACTGGATTCCATGTGAAATCTGGGGCTTCATGGGTGGCCACCAAAGACAGAAGCTCATCAATGCTGATACCAGACCTATCCAAAGAGTGTGTGGGGTCTAAGGTTGCATGCTGAGCTACATGGCCATGCAGCTTCTGGCCGGGTGGGCGGGGCCAAGAGCTGGGCAGCACAGGGCCCTCGCTCACCTTGCCCAAAGGCTGGGCCTGGCTGATAAAAGCCAAACCAGCTGACTGGCAGTGAGCGCTCTAATATCTCCAGGTTTGGTGAGGCTTCCTCCTCTATATGATTAAAATAATTACTGTGTTGTGTTGGGTTGAAAATATCCAAAGAGCTCACTCATTCATGAGCTCCTCAGCTCTGTTGGTCCACAGGAGTTAAATATGGAGTTTAAAAAAAAAAGCTCAAAACTAATACAACTGAATATAGCTGGAAGCAAATATAATTTGTTTCTCTCAGTGAGCCTGGAAAGAGCTATGTAGGAGGAAAGGAGATGTAGCAAAATACAGGACTATGTAGCACTTTAAAGACTAACAAGATGGTTTATTAGATGATGAGCTTTCGTGGGCCAGACCCACTTCCTCAGATCAAGTAGTGGAAGAAAATAGTCACAACCATATATACCAAAGGATACAATTTAAAAAAATGAATACATATGAAAAGGACAAATCACATTTCAGAACAGGAGGGGGATGCAGGGGGCGGGGGAAATCACATTTCAGAACAGGAGGGGGATGCAGGGGGGGGGAAGGAAGAAAGGTAAGTGTCTGTGAATTAATTATATTAGAGGTGGGGAGAGTTAGATGTCTGTGAGCTAATGGTATTACAGGTGATAATTGGGGAAGCTATCTTGGTAATGGGTAAGATAGTTAGAGTCTTTGTTCATTCCTTTTCATATGTGTTAATTTTTTTTAATTGTATCCTTTGGTATATATGGTTGTGACTATTTTCTTCCACTACTTGATCTGAGGAAGTGGGTCTGGCCCACGAAAGCTCATCATCTAATAAACCATCTTGTTAGTCTTTAAAGTGCTACATAGTTCTGTATTTTGCTTCAGCTACACCAGACTAACACGGCTACATTTCTATTACTATTGTACATGAAAGGAGATGTGACATTCTTACTTATGCATATAATTAAATAGTATCAGATTATCATTAGGCTTCCATTGTCACCACTAGGGACAGTACCCCACAGTAAGTAGTGCTGACTGATCTGCAGGTAAAAGTCCCATTACTCATGGATGTAAATCTACTGATGTGATCATAGAAGCTTGGAAATTTATTGGGACCGATTTTCATTTACACAAGACCCTTTACACCATTATGATAGCATAAAGTGGCCTGAGTGTGCCTGAGCAGTCTGTCTAAAGTCAAAAGGTGCTAATCATGCACTGTCTTACATTCCATCCCACAGCTAGTTAGGGCACAATTTGGACCATGTTTCATTAGACCATCAGTTTAAGTGGAGATATTCAGAGTCCATTCACTCTGGGATAAAAGCATGGAATTGAGTGCCTTATAATAGCTGTTCATTCTGATTGAGACATATTTATTTGGATGCATTTTCAAGATATCCTTTTGTATCAAGAGCCAACCTTTCCGATTTGGGATCTATTGCATCCACCAAGATTTTGACAGCAGCCAAAGGAGCTAGGACTGCAGAAGGGGGAGGAGGAAGAATGGCTCAGATAGCCTTTCATGGTGTGTGTGTGAAGGGGAGAGACATCCAGGCCAAATTTGAGTGAGTGGCAGTGTAAGCTGGAATATGAGGCCACTACATCACACAAATTTGGCCACGCCATCCCTCCATCATGAGAGAGGAGTGGCCAGATCACAGGAAAGGGCTTTAATATATCACCTGGTTCCGGTCATATGCTACAATATGGCTTCTAAAATAAATAGGAGACAATCGTTCACAAGCCTATTTGAGACAGTGCTGGTGCTATGGTTTTTCAGAGTGGGGGCAAGAATCTCCTGGAGGCAAGAGGCCTGCAAATGCTTTGCATGGGTGTGATAAATCGGGCCGAGTCTGGGCACTGCTGAGGGCATCCACTCAGGGTAAATTGCTCAAAACAAGGGCTCTTTACAACCCCAGACCGGGGACCTTTCCAAACAGGTCGCAAACTGGTCACACCAAACAAAATCCCTCAGACATCCCAGATATCCCTGGGCCACAATCAGCCCTGGGCCTAACACAGATGCGGGTTATAGAACTCAATCTCATCTACCCTGAATGGGTTCTTCTGGTCCAAGAAATCAGCCACAATTCCCAGTCAATTTACACTCTGGATGTTACCCACAAGATCATGCTGGGCCAATCCTTTTGCGGAAAAGCATCCGTGCCAATCTAGACGCTCTTTTCCGCAAATGCTTTTAACGGAAAAACTTTTCTGTTAAAAGCATTTGCGGAAAATCATGCCAGTCAAGAAGTAGCCTGAGAGCGAGGACTGGTAATTGTAAACAAATTTTATGGGAATTTTGGCCACATCCAACTAAGTGGACATCCAGCTGTTGCATAAAAGCCTCCGCCTGAGCTATTACTTGATTTTACACGTGGATTTTCTGGAAATACCCAAAACTGTAAGGTCCTGCCAACACATGACTTAGAGAGTGATAAAAACCTCCTGCTGACTGTATTGCTGTGGGGGAAGCGGGAATTGTCCTCTAAGTCACTTCATTACTGATGATTTGTAAATGATTCTCTGAAGCTTTACAATTGTTTTAGCTGCATTGCCTTTTAAACTTTGCAACTCCTTGTAATCTTTTTTAACCTTGCATCTCTGTAATCTTTATAAAACCTTGCAACTTTGTAACTCTCCACAATTTTGTTTTATAAGTTTAGAAACCTACTGTAAACTTGGTGATTGTTGAGCCTTGCAACTTTGTAATCTTTGTAACTCTCAGACATTTTGCTTGTAACTTGCTCTAAACTGCATTCTCCCCGGAAATATGTGTGTGTGAGAGTGACTGGAGACTATTGTGTGTTTGGGATTAGAAACTGCAAGGCTGAGCACATGGAGCCAGGTAATGAGTCATCAGACCAATTAAGGATACACTGCTGCTCTGTTGGATCAAGGGAAGTCTGGGCATGCTCCTTGGTGGGGAATGTGGATGAGTCACAGCGGTAGTACAGAGGCAATAAAAGGAGAGAACAGGTGACAGTAGTTCTCTTTCTGAGATGTTCTTCTTCCTGCAGCCAGTTTCTTTCCTGACCAGCTCCCCAGCTATGATCAGCAAAAAGACCCTCCAGAACCAACATGCCTTGGCTCCTTCTGCAACTCGTGTGTGTGTGCGCGCGCTCGAGTGAGTGAGATGTTCCCTTAGTTAAAATCTTTAGTGGCAGCTCTATCCTCTTTAGTTTTACCATACATTGCAGGGCTACTGAACTTTTGAAGCCCCGGAGCCACAATGATACTCACAGCATATGCCGAGGGCTGCAATTTAAGTGTGGTTGCATATACATGTAAATAGCTTCTTTGACGCTGTTGGGCATGAATACAAAGGTTAAGGCAAGACTACACACCACACAGGCCCCATTTAAGTCAGTTCTGCTGATATTAATAAAATGCAATGTTTACCCAATTTCCACCCATATGACAGCAATTTTAATGAGCAGTGACAGTACAGAAATTTTACTAAAACCCATATCAGCAGAAGACCATTATATATTGACTACTTTTTTGTTTTGGCTCCCACCCGCAGGCCGCATGTTGGGTCCCGCATAAACCCAAACTGCACCCTGGGCTGCAAACAAACAGGCAGTGGGCCACATGCTGAGTAGCCCTGATATAGTGGAGTGTTAATTCTTCAATCAATAAACCCATACTCGTGTTATCCTGGGTGGTCTCCATTGGGAATTTTTAGGGTAACACCAGCTAACTAAAATCATGCCAGACCACAGATATTGCCGAACCAGAGAATGCCAGACTAGAGAAGTTCAACTTGTATCTTGCTGTAATTTAATTATACACTAGTGCACATACTAGCTGTGTTTGACATTACATAATTGTATAGCAGGTATAGTGGTACAGCTCACACCATAAGACTGCTCTGACTAACAAGTATGGGTCCAATTATAAACTTCAGAACTACCACCAAACAAAATATTTATAAAAATAACAGGTGAAGGGCAACATGTTCAAGTGGAAGAAACTGTGAGAAAAGAGAATCTCCTTGAAACTCTTTCTTTGCAGCATGGAGCATAACAATTCAGAACAGAAGGCACTCAAGAAAGTGGTTGTTAAAAAGCTTGATATTTATTTAATGTGATAAAACAAACTAGAGGAGACTAAGGGAGGATTTGATAGAGGTCTATAAAATCATGATTAGTGTGGAAAAAGTGAATAAGGAACAATTATTTAGTTGTTCCCATAATAAAAGAACTAGAGGTCACCAAATGAAATTAAAAGGTAGCAGGTTTTAAACAAACAAAAGGAAGTTTTTCTTTGCACAGTACACAGTCAACCTGTGGAACTCCTTGCCAGAAGATGTTGAAAAGACAAGGACTTTAACAAGGATCAAAAAAGAACTACAGCCTCTCCCCGAGTTACAAACGAGTTACAGACCAAACACTTGGTCATAACTCAATCGGTTCGTAACTTGGACCCCACTGCGTTACACACGACCATGCTGTTCGTAAGCATGGGTCGCGTTCGTAACTCGGGGACCACCTTTACAACCGCTCCATGGGAGCTTTGGTCGTAAGTGTGAACGGTCATAACTTGACCATTCAAAACTCAGGGAGCGGCTGTAGATAAATTCATGGTAGTTAAGTCCATCAATGGCTAGTAGCCAGGATGGGTAGGAATGGTGTCCATAGCCTCTGTTTGTCAGAGGCTGGAAATGGATGACAAGAGAGATAGCTTGATGATTTCCTGTTCTGTTCATTTCCTCTGGATCATCTGGCATTGGACTCTGTTGGAAGACAGGATACTGGGCTATATGGACCTTTAGTCTGACTCAGTATGGCCATTCTTATGAAACAAACAAATTTAACATGACCCACTTACAAATGAGGAGGATTTTACAGATTTTGTTAATGTCGGTGCCAAAGAAACAACAGGAGATTTTATAGATGAATAGGTAGTAGCCAATCTGAAGAGAACAGGTGCTGAAAATAAAAGATAGACGAAGAAGAGTTATGCTTATTGCTCTAAGCACACAGCAGGATCCTTTTTTCTCCAAAAATGGATGAAATGGTGCCAGCAAAGTAGACTAATCCATGTGGGGGTAAAACTGGTTGACAGTGAATCAGTTCACAGAGCAGCCAGTCCGGACTTAAACCAGAATTTCTGAGGTTTTAAAAGATTATTTAAATGTTCATTTACTGTGCTATCATGTTTACAATGTTTTTTAAATGTGTATATTATATATAGTATTGCATAAAATACCATGACCCACCCTTTACTTAAAACAAATATTAGGTCATGACTCAGTGAACTTTATTTTCTGGGATGGCTGCTTAATTGGAATGAATCAAAATCCACTGAAGCATCCCAGGTTAAATACCTATTCATTTGGTTTTATAGAAGAAACATTAGAAAGTTTTTGACACTTCCAGCTGGCAGAACAGAAAGCACGCAGGAGAATTAGAGCAATGAGGTGGATGAGGTAATATTTTTTTAGTGGCTCAGCTTCTGCTGAGGAGAGAGACAAGTTTTCAAGCTTACACAGAGCTATTCTCCAGGTCTGGGAAATGTGCTTAGGTTGTCTACACTGCCACTTTACTGGGCTGAAACTGTCTCACTCAGGGATGTGAAAAAACATACCCCTGAGGGCAGCAAGTTTCAGCAAAGTGTCAGTATAGATAGTACTATAACTGTAGGAGCTGCCTTCTCAGTGATGTTAGCTACTCCCTTGTTTGGGGTGGCTTTTTTTACAGCACTGGCAGAGTCTTTCCCAGTGCTGGTACCACAACTACACAGACACTTTAAAGCACTGCCAGAGCAGCACTTTAACTTTGCCAGGATAAACATCCCTTAATGTCACAGCTAAATACAAGGTGGAGCAGATTGTTTAGCATAAGTAGCTAAACACATTTTAAGGAACTTTTCAAAGTAAAGTAGCCTGTTAGCACCTTACCAGTCAGAGAGGGGAACAGAGGAGGGAGAAGAGATGGAATGGAGGGACAGTGAGTTATAGATTGTGCTATTAAGCCATAAATCCAGTCTTTCTGATAAGCATGACTTTTACTATCTAGCAAAGTTATGAGTTTAAGCTCCCAGGATCATCCATTGAAGGAACTGTACAGGTTTCCTTTGTGGGTGAGGGCTGAAAAGTCAGATATAGAGTGATCACTTTTTGAAAAGCATTCACCACAAGTGATGATGTCTTTGTCTTTTATCATTGTTCTGTGGGTTCATTTGAAAGTATAATGATTGTCTGTTTTCACCCATGTCGTTATTATTGGGCATTTAGTACATTGGATGAGGTACATGACATGTCGTGATTGTCATGTGTAGGACCCCATGGAACTTGAAACGTGTAGCAGGGGGTGTTCATTATTGTTATCATGGTGATATGTCTGCAGGGTTTGCATCTACCATTATGGCAGAGTCTGATGCCACTTTGAGTTAGCATGTCCTGGTCTGCAGGGAGCTTGCTTCTGATGATGAAGTTGGAGAGGATGGGGGGGTTGAAGGTCAGAAGAGGGGTTTCAGGAAAGATTTCTTTCAGGAAGATGACTGTGCTTGGGATGGGGACTGGGTTTGAGACTGTTTTCTCCTCCTCACTGCTGCGTGCAAGGCCTGAAGAATCATGTTTTCATTATTCTGGATGTTGTAATTAGTCAGTTTCAGCAGCTTGTTGAAATCCTCTGCTTTCAATGAGACCTCCCTGGTGGAATATGGAGAATAGAAGCTGGAGACATCAACTTTGCCCAGTTCCATTTCTGCTGCACTACGTTCCACACCTGGGGAATGAAACAAGCAAACAATAGGTTTCACTATCGAGATCCTATTATACCTATAGCGTATCTCCATCTAACGAACTGTGTCAAGAACGCCCAAAGGGTGCTCACATATTTAACTGCCAATCCAGAACTTGGTGTGTGGAACATCAGTCTCAAATCTGAACCCTCATGCATTGTGTGAGGATGAAAATGACTGCTGCTATCAACAGCACCTATGGTCCAGTCCATAGAAAGTCATTTGTAGGGGTCTTACAGAGGATTGCATGTCCACCACCCAATGGGGAAAGAAGAGGTTTTGATGACAGTGAGAAAAAAGAAAAAGCGACATTGAGAGCAAGAAGAAATAAAAAACTGGTAGATCTAAAAATGATCATAAAAAGCAAGAGTGACTCATCCATTAAAAATGCAGGTTCAATGAGAAATGGTGGCTGAATTAATAAAGCAACTTCTCTCCTTACTTGGTCTATCCATCACTGTTGTTTCGCAAAATAAACAACCACCTCCTCAAATGGCCCACAGTGTAAAGTACAAAAAGCCTCCTCCCATGTCTGCTTCATCCCATAAGAAAAACCTTCCCAACAAGCAAACAACTGCTCAGTCACTTACTTTGTGTAGTACTCTAAAGGTTGTTAAACTCACACTTTGGAAGATATCAACAGGGAGGTTAGATTCCCAGCCTCTCCTGAAAAAAGACTTATCCGCTATGCCTCAGTTGTGTGTAGAACCCATAACCAGGTCCTAAAGACCTCAGGTTTTATTAATTTAACCCTGCCCCTTGAATTTCTCTCACAGTCAGGGCCAGACTGAGGTATGGGTGAGCCGGGCAGCTGCCCAGGGCGCCAACCGATGGGGGGTGCCTGATGGCAGCTATAAGGGGCGCGCAGCGTCCCTTACAGCTGCCATCAGGCACCGCGTGCCCGGCTCCTGCAGCACCGGCCTGCCCGCATCCCTGCGGCACTGGCCAGCAACGCCCTTCCCCCCACGGCCGCGGGGCTCTACATGGCCCGGCGCATATGCCAGCAGCATCAGCCAGGCCGGACTGAGCCGCACTTGCACCGTGCATCCTAGAGGCGGGCCTGGGCTGCCCGCCAGTAGCTATAGCCAAGGCGCACATGCACCGTGCGCCCCGGGGGCAGGCCATGCACCCTAGGGGAGTGAACCCACTCCCCATGGGTGGGCCCGCGCATGCACCATGCACCCAGGGGCGGCGCCATCTGCCCATGCCCAGGGCACCAGAATACCTCGGGCTGGCCTTGCTCACAGTGCCTAAGAAGTCAGTGCATTTCGCACAGCTGGGCATTTCACAGCCCAGCAGTATAATGTGCTCATGCAAGCTTTCTCCACTAAGCAGATGACCCACTATATTTTGCATTCACTGAAGTTTGAGTGGTTTGCAAATGTATCCAAAAGCACAGCACAGTGCATTAGACTGAAGAGGAAGTGGCAAAGTCATGGATGATGGTGACTGACTCCATATCATCAGAGAAATACCAGGGCATCTTAGCTAACTACAGACCCACAAAATAGTGATACATGCCCATATTCAACATGATTAACATATCTTTTTCAACACAACATAGTAACCATTACTAAAACTGTATGCTAAAATTGAGAATCATTGGTATATCACCAATAGGAGGAGCAGTGGAGGTTATTATATAGGAACAGAATTTTGTTTCAGGGAAAAAGTTGTGAAGGTGTAGAATTGCTTTGTAGGTTATCCGTTGGCATTTATACAGCAAGGTGACCCCAAAAAATCAAATGCTTAATCAAGTCTAAAGATTTTACTTCTATTCTGCTTCTTGGATCTGTTGCAAACCCTGCTCATCAATTTTATTTCCTTTGTAACCAGGTCCCTGTCTAAGCCCTGGAAAAACAATAAAACTGCAGTACCCAATTCTGATGAAAAAGTTCTGTAAAGTTGAGTAACGCCAACGTAGGGAGAGAATCACAGCCTCAAATGCCTCACCTTCTCCCACAGCAGCCTCAAGTTACATATTGAACACATGATTTATATGGAAAGCCTAGCTCTCAACCCTCTAAGTCTCAAATGATTTGTGTTGGCCTTCCAAATTGCTCCACAAAAGCCCCCAAAACAAGTCATGGAATTAAAAAAAAACCAGTAGAAGTAACTATTGCCACAATGTTAAAATGTTGTGGCCTTGTTTAATTTACAGAAATAATTGATGGCATAACACCAGCCATGAGTCAGACTGAGGTAAACGTGAGTCTAAAATAAGGACTGTCTGTCATGAGGGATACATGAGTAGAGCAGGATGGAATTTTTCAAACTAAATATTTTTTTCAGTGAAAAAAACTGATTCTGCAACGTGGAAATATTTCATGAATTTGCATCATTCCCTTTTCAGAAAAAAGCTTTGATGTTTTGGAACTGAAACATTTTGATTTTTTTTCTTCAAAATAACTTTTATTTTAAATATTCTTTGTTTTCATTTAAAAATGAAAAATTTGAATTTGATACAAAATATTTCATTTCAAGTGAATTTTGTCAGCTTGAATTTTGAATTCACCACTAATTTTGAAAGAAAAAAAAGAGATGCTTTTGGTTAACTCCAAAACATATTTTTATTTTCAAGATCTGGAAAATAAGAGATTTTTCAGTTTTCTGGCAATTTGCCCAAACTCTGTAACTGAGTGATGGGGCAGGCTGAAAGTTGTCATTTAAAAGTCAGTTATGTTGAAATTAGAAACGGGGACAGGAGAAATGTTTATTGGTATGAAATAAAACACAAAGATCTAGAAAGAGTGGGCAGGCTGGACATGCTAAGTATAAGGCAATGATTGGCTGATGTTTACTTACCAGGTGCTATGTATCTTTGGAAGCTGTCATTCACTAGTGGGAAATAGAGCAGTATGGGAGCACATGGATTCTCTGCATCTTCAAACATATAACACTCCTTTAGGTTCTTCCTTTCTTCCTCGCTCAACACAGGCTTAGGAAATGGGATTCCTTGCTCTGAGAAGTATGTGGAGGCCCGATCCAGAGGCTAAATCACCGCAGACCAGAACAAACATTAGAAGCGACAAAGAGACACAAATAAGGTTGGGATTGTACTGCAATGCCAATAAGAATGCAAGCATCTGGAGACAAGCTGGGTCACATGAAAAGAGTTTCTGGCAATATACTTTATTTTCTTCCTTATCCAAAAATAATCTTACTGCACAAAACAAGAAAACAGTACAGATTGTAAAGACTGTTCAAAATTGCACTATCGATTTAAAGACACTAATGGCCATGAGAGTTGTAGAGCAGGAATTTGACTGGAAACAACACAGCAAGAATTCAAAGGAATAATGGTGCTACTGAAGATCACATCTGCATTCAGTTATAGATGGGTCTGGTTTAGATTCAGTTTCAGGATTTGTGTTTGAGGCCAAATCAGAAGCGGGACCCTCAATCAAATTCTGATTCCAACTTGCTGAAATCTAGTGAGCTGTTCTCATAAAACTCTAGTCCCAATCAATCTGTGTCTGACAGTCTTTTGATATTCCCACCATTTTGAGACTTCTCCTGAGATTTCATCCACTTTACAGGCTAAAGAATCTGATGTCTGATGAGACATTGAAATACAGGTTGCACCTCTAAAAGCCGGGACACTCTGGTCTGGCAACGTCCATGTTCCGGTAGGACCACGGATATTGCTGGACCAGAGAACCCAGCTGGCCAGGTTCAGGGGCTGGGCTGGTGGTAGGGAGCACAGCCCTCACTCCAGTGGGGAGCGGAGCTCCACCCAACTGGAGGCAGAGGGAACAGCAGAGGCTGGCAGCACAGTCATAGCAGGGAGCCCAGACCAGTGGCAGTGGGGCTGGTGCCTGGGAGTGCAACCTGGACTGTAGCTCAAGGAGCACAGCCTCAGCTGGTGGCAAGAGCAAAGCCCCAGCCAGAGTCAGTGTGCTGGGGAACATAGCCCCAGCCCTGGGTGAGAAGTGCAGTCCCAGTAGGGCTAGGGGCATAGGAAGCAGGGCCAACAGTTGGGAAGGCAGCCTTGACCGCCCCAGCCCTTGGTGGGAAGTGAAGTCCCAGTAGGGCTAGGGGCAGAGGAAGCAGAGCCAACAGTTGGGAAGGCAGCCTTGACCTCCCCTGCTCCAAGAAACTCTGTCATTCAGGGCTGCTCAAGTCCCGAGGGTGCTGGACCATGGAAGTCCCGCTTGTACTGCATTTATCACATGTACATTTATCAGAAAGCTCAGTCACAGCCGTCAGACACACAAAAACTTCATTTAAGTGTCCAGTAAAATATTAAACAAGATTCAAGTATATTATAATAAATCCACTGACTAATAAAGACTACATTCAAATAAATTATTGGACAGTCAAAAATGTAGTTGCATAGTAATAAATCTTCCATTTTATAGAACTACTGTGGGAAACAATTAAGAACTCATTTGCCATACCAGAGTAATTGCAGTATCGTTGGTCAAAGAAAAGAAATATATTATTGTTACAGAAAACACCTTCATTAGTGACTGTTCAGATTTAGTCCCACCCAACATTGACTAACACTTGTATTGACACATCTATCTATTTGGAAGTCCACGTGTGTGTTCAGGCGTGGAATAGCATGTGCAGTGCACTGCTCTATATAGAATACCTGAAACAATTTTCCAAACATGACAAATGAACATGTCCTCACAAGCAAGTCTCACATTTAAATAGGAACACAGACAAGCATGTGAAACATTTCTTCACTCATTAAATCACATTTTATCTTATGTTGGATAGCTCAGGAAGTAAATAAAACTTTGGTCTTTTTTATTTATCACACTTATTTTCAATCACATGGGGACTGGAAATGAACATTCAAACTAGGGATGTTAAATTTAGTCAATTAGTGGGGGAGCTGCAGCAGGATTAGCTCCCGCCCAGGAGTTAACCCTGCTGTGGCTCTGCCTTTTAAATGTATTAAGAGCCTGTTCCAGAGGCACAGCTTCTGGAACTGGTTACAAGCTGGGAATCAGCTGATTCCCCACTTGCGCCCAGTCCTCACTGCCCTCTTGCCTGTCCTGCCCCTTGTGGAGATGGTGCTGGGCGGGGAGGAGAGGAACGGCTTTTAAGAGGCAGCAAGGGGGAGAAGTGGCTAGTCGAGGGACTCAGCAACTATCCGATAAGCTTTTGCTTATCTGATAGTCGACTGGTCACTTACATCCCTAATTCAAACCCTAATGGTCATAAAGCTGAATTTGCTCTTTAAGATATGGGACATGTGTATAATGGAAGTGCCATCTCAACCATCACTATTTCTTAGTGCCACCCCACAATGTTTCAATTAAATATAGCACATAGGCCATTATTTCCAAAAAGAGAATATGTCATGTCATGATCTAAAATAAAAGTGGGGAACCTGCAGCCAACAGCCTGGACACCATACACTGCTTCATTTCATCTGCCCACAGCACGTGTCCGCAGGACTGGAGCTGTGAGCTCTGAACGTCAGCACACTTTCCCCTCCCTTCACTGGATTGGAGCTGTGAGCACTGGCTTGTCAGCATCACTCTGCAGCCCCTGGGTGCAACAGCAGTCACGGAAGCTGTACATGCTGCTCCTATTGCTGGTGCCACAGCTCTCATTGGCCAAGAATCATTGCCAATAGGAGCTGCAGGGGCACAGCCTGAAGGCACAGGTAGCCCACATCACACAAAGCCACCAGGATCCTCCATGGACATAGTGATTCTGCTTTCAGGAACAGCACAGCTCAAGCTTATCCTCAATACACTGCCACCTGGGATCCACCTGAGGTAAGCATTGTCTGGCTAGACCCTGCACCCCCAAATCCCTCTCATATGCCAACTCCCTGCCCCAGGTCAGAACTCCCTTCCAGAGGTACCCTCAGCTCTTTCCTGCACTAAAATTCCTTTGGAGACTGCACCTCTAACCCCCATTCTCACCCCAATCTATTGTCCCATCTCTGGTCCCACTCCAGAGTCACACCTCCAGCTGGAGCCCTCACCCAACCCACACACCAGCCTCCTGCCCCAGTGCTGTGCCCTCTCCTGCACTCCAAACCCCTCATCCCAAACCCTATCACAGATGTCCCAGATACCCCTCACCTCCCCCCATACCTCAACTCCTTGCCCCAGCCCTGATCCCCCTTCACTCTCATTCCTACTCCAACCCCAGAACCTAGGGAAAGCCCTGAGCCGCTGACTTCCCCACCTCCTCCAGGGCTGTGTGACCCTCAACTGATTTTTTCTGCAGTCAATGGCCCCTGATTGAAAAAAGGTTCCTCAGCACCATCTAAAAAGTAGTTCAAATTAGATCAAGGTTTTTCCTCCTGGAATCACCTCTCTCTTCTAATGTTTAAAAATAGGAAGTTACTAACACAATTGGCCATTACTGAACAGAACAAAGAAGAAACTGACCACTCTTACCATTGTCTGTGATCCTCCACTGTAATTTAAATGCAGGATGACATCCACTTTCCTCTCTGGTCTCATAATTGGTGGGCAACTGGTATCAAAGAAGAATGCAGTATCTACCAGCTCCAGATGCTCTGCAGTGTGTCTCAGTTGATTAGGCAAAGTGTCTAGCATAGTGTCTGAAAGGCAAGTATTTCTTACAAATGAACCATTGCAGGAACAGATCTGCTACATCCCGCATTTCAAAGGTCAGACAGAAAAGAGAAGTACATCCCTCCAGGCACAGTCTCCTTTGTGACAGCTATCCCACTATATCATTGCAGGAACAGATCTGCTACATACCACATTTCAAAGGTCAGACAGAAAAGAAAAGTACAGCTTCCCTCCAGGCACAATCTCCTTTGTGACAGCTATCCCACTATAGCTTGCCCATGCTGTGCTGCACAGCAGAGGTTCTCAATATTTTTTGCACTATGATCCCATGTTACAAGAGAGGAGAATTTCAGGACCCCACCTCCTATAATTTGGGGACCCCTTTTCATCTAGGCATAAAGAAAAGGAAAGTTGTTAAAACCTGTCTGGAGTGATGGGACATCCTTTCCCATTCCCCTATCGGGTCCTGGACCTCAGCTGAGAATCCATGTCTTTATATGGATCTTCTCTAACATACCCGGTCATTCCATACCTGGCTCCCTTCTAGTACTTCACCCCAGTTATTGGATCTAGTAGCCAGCCTCTCCTAGACTGAGAAGGGATTTTTTTTCTGACTCTCTCCCATTCAATCTCTTCCATCTGCTCACCCAAATCCATGAACTGTGCCAAACCTGAAATAGCTTTTCCGTGTGATCTACCACAAAATGAGTGAGGTTCCACCAAACCAATTCCACTAAGTACTTTCAGCCCCAAACAATCCAATAACATTAATCAAGGAGATCTATTCAAAATTAGTTTCAAGTCCTGATATTTGTAGTGAAGGAGTTAAAAAAATGACGCTTGCTCATTCTTCCTGTCCGATTCAGCATAAATAATGCATGAGTTTAACACAAACCCCATTCCGTTTTCTTCAAGACATACAAGTTTCCCTTGCAAATTCCAGAGCCCTCCAAATCACCCAAAGGAACCCACTAATAATTGCGTGGCACTACTATACCTTTCCATTTAGAAAACTGCCCATGCTGTGTGTACTCATTGTGCATCTGGAAACCCCTTAAGAAACTGTGGTACTTTGATACTGCTGGGCGATCCGTTAACATATCTCGAAGTGCATTGGAAACACCTCCTGCAGGAGTGTACATGCAAGTAGCCATCTCATGTGGCTTCTCAGGTAGATCAGGCACTTCCTCTGAAGAAAGGTGGTAGAAATATCGCAGAATTATTTATGTTGTAGGGGCAGGGAGGGTGGAGGGGTGGAATAGTCTTCTGCAATAATAAATTATTATTTATGTAGATTTCTAAACATGCACCTAAGAGCTGGATTCAAAACCCGCTGAAATCAATGGAGTCTTTCAATGAACAACAAAGGGCTTTAGATTAGGGCCTTAATGCATCTTCAGAATGAGGCCTGAGATTCTAATTAGACTACATTGTCATTCTATTCTTTTCCTTGGAAGAAGCAATTGGAAAGAATTGGCTCAGATTATTCCATCCCCCTTGATCTAGGTTGGCTGAAGACCATTTGTGACACCATGGGGTACATTGGATCCTCACACAGCTTCTGGGTGATCAAGTGGCAGAAGCAGTAGCCAAGGATACTTTTTCCATCTAGACTTGGCTCGAAGGACATGATTGTTCCATTGGATTTGAAGCTACTTTGTCAACACAGTACTAAATTATTGTAATGTAGCTACATGGGGCTACATTTCAAATTGATTCATAAAATGTGTTGAGTGAACAATCTTGCAGTTCTTGAGTTTAGCAGTCTTTCCTCCAGGGATACATTACCCCGTGCTGTGTTCTGCACTCATTGCCAGTTTATTGTCTATTGCAATTTAATTTAATGTGCTGATTTTAATCCAGAAGGGCTAGATTTTAAAAGACATCTTGATGTCTAACTCTCATTTCAAAATCTGTCTGTAACACCCAAAAAGGCTGTGTTTACTTGAAAGATGCCAGTCTCATAATGAGATAATTCTACAGTGAGATCAGTGGAGACTCTTGAGTTTAACCGTGAAGGAGCTGAGGACAAAGCCTTAGCAGTAAGGGGCTTTAACTTTGGAACCTGCTTCTTCCTTTGGTCTAATAAAGTTGAACACTGCAAAGTCAATCTATGTCCAAGCTTCTGAGAAGGGAGAATGCTGGGGAGGATAAAGGTTGGTTTAATAGGAATATTCAAAATTTGGATTTGGTTTATGTATGAGATTATTGTTCTCTAACATACCTGCACACAAAACTGTAAAAGGGCTCATTGGTAAAGATGTAAATGAAATACATGACAAAAAATAAAACTGTGGCAGTAGGTCAATGCTATTACTAGTTCCCTGGACTCAGCAAAACTAATATTTTCCTCCTCTGTTCTACTTACTCTCACAGAATCACAATAGTAAAGGCAAATCTACACTTCAAATTCTGCAGCAGCACAGCTGTAACACGTCAGTGAAGTCACCACCTATGTTAATGGCACGAGTTCTCCTACAGGCATAGGTGCTTCACCTCTACTTCCACCAGAAGTAGTAGCTTTGTCAACACAAGTAACCCTCAATGTCAACATAGCAAAACAAAATGAAAGGGAAAGCCAGAGTTACCTATTTCCGTCACTTTGTCTTGGGTCCATCTGTGCCAGAAGTCCTCTGAATTGTCAGCTGCATGCCATGCATCCAAGAGATTCTTAGAAAACACGCTACTCCACATTCCTATCACAGGGAAGAGATTTAATAGCAACTGAGTCCAAGTGAGGACACTGAAGCATTTTTATTGAACACTAACTTTTGTCCCTCCCCATATATCTGTTCTAATTTGCTTTCATATTTCTTTCTGATTTTAACAGTCAAGTCTAATAGTCCAGGCTTCCATGACTAGATTCCTGGAGAGGGAAAGGAGGCTATAAAGCTAGTCCCTTCTGAGGGTGCAAAATCTGCAGATCTTGTATGAGTTAAATTTGCAAAGCTCATTTGCGCCTATATTTGAAATCACTTAATTATCAAAATAAGAGACTTCTGAGGGCTATCACGTGGATCCAGATACTGAAATATTGGCACATTACTCAGTCTAGCTTTTGCAACCTCAACTGTTGGAACTCCGTATTTCAATGAGGGAGAGGGGATATTTTGAAGTTGATTCGATTTCACAAAGTTTGACTTGGAACCTTTGTTTTTCTTTTTTCCCTGAAATGTCTTTGAATTATAATTTCCTCCCTCCCCCACCTTTTTTGTCACCAAATGCAGTATAATGAAAAAACTCCAAAGTCAGGCTCTCCCATTCACAGGTTTGTTTGTTTTTTTTAGCTTTTGCTAATGTGTAACTTTTCTAAAGTGGAAGTCTTGAAAAGTTAGTGTGGTCAAAAAAAATATGAAAAAGAAAAGTGAAAAAGTTTGTAAAGTGACAGAGAACCCTAGACAGTGGAAGCATGAATGGAAAGATGGAAATGCAGATGGGGGAATATAGTTCAAAATGTGTAGTTTAAAAAATCCCTGAAAATTAAAAATACATGAATAACGTAGGGGTTTTTTGAAAGTTTTTGTTTTAGTTTTTGAATAGCATTTTTAATCCAAACATTTTCAAATGAAAACTCTTGCTGATCAGCACTATTTCATCACTGATAGAAGTTGTCATTAGATCTGGCTGGGACAGTTTTCCCATCCCAAAAATATTTTTGAAAGTTCAATTTTTCCCCATTTCTGAATGTCAAAATCTCAAAAATATTTGCATATGAAAATGCCAATCTCTTCCCTGCTCACACACATCAGGTCAATTGAAACATTTTATTTTGAGAATTCTGAAATTTTTCACTTTGATTTAAACTTTTTTTTAATTACACCCTATCTAACTAGATTATATTTCAAAACAAAAATCATTTTCAAACAGAAAACCAACATTTTTCTTAAAAAATGACAAAATACTTTTTCATTTTGACAATTTCCAACCTTTTTTCCTTAAATTGGAAAATTTGTTGAAACACACCCAGTTTCACTATTACAGTTTGGACAATTCAGCATTATTCAAAGAAAGCAATTTGTCACAAAAATTCTGAGGAACTCCAGTTCTTAGCTCCCTAACTGTCGGACAGTGGCAGACTTTTTATATATCTTTTTATTTTTTTAAATTTCCATGGATATATAACCTTCTTTTATACCTTACTTCTCCTACTTCTTTCACAGTCTTCCCTTTGCTACTGTGTATTTTTGATTTGTGTAACTAATCTTTAAATCTTTAAAAATATGTTGTCATACAATATGCATGAAATATACATTATTTGTGAGAAGTATCGGGGGGGGTAGCCATGTTAGTCTGAATCTGCATAAACAACGTGAAGCCCTGTGGCACCTTATAGACTAACAGAATTATTGGAGTATAAGCATCCATGGACAAAGACCCACTGACAAAGTGGGTCTGACGAAGTGGATCTGATGAAGTGGGTCTCTGCCCACAAAAGCTTGTGTTCCAATAATTCTGTTAGTCTATAAGGTGCCACAGGACTTCTCGTTTATTACTTGGACATTAGCAATGCCACTATTTATTGAGCTAAATTTTCAATGTTACCATGCTGTATTCCTCAGGTTATAAATTAACAATTCAGCTATGGTCTAAGGGAGTGAACTGCAGAGATTTGGAATATAAGAGAGTGTGATATTTTTTGCAAACTCAGTTATTAAACATGTATAAAAATTTTACATCTGCTTTGAGTTTGAGCATGGAATGACAAGAAAATGAAACCAAGTGCAATTGTTTAGGACAATTAGGAAGATTTAGAAGCCCATTCACTTTTTCTGCTGCTCATTAAGACATAAAAATATTTTCTGCAGTTGATACTGAACCCCTGCTGCCAGTCAGAAGACAGTGGTTTGCCAAGTACTGATCTCCATAGCTGTTAGTGTTCTTATTAAGTAAACACTTTCCCAAGTGAAATAGACACCTTGCATGAAGCAGATCCGAGATTCTGGCAGTTTCTTCATTAGCCGACCCATGAAGAACTCGCTTCCAAAATCCTCTGCACGAATAAAAGCTCCATACTTCAGGAATCCCACCTCATAAGGGGTAAACTCCACCCATTCTACAAACAGAGCCACAAAAAATTATTTAACTGTATTAGGTAACCAGGCATGGTGTTAGTCAGTAGGTTGAGAGAGATAAAAGTAGAATAAAGCTTCTGAGTTTCAGCTTTTTCAAGATGAACTATGCTACAGAAACCATCATTGTTTGCAACTAGTTGCTTTTATTGACTATGAGTGACACTGAAGGACATGAAGAGTGACAGGGTTTATCAAATGGAGGAGGCAGCTCTGTCTTCAAAATGGGCCAGATAGTGGCCTTAATTCATTTCCAATTTACATGAGCTTTGTCACCAGAGTCACAAGGTCCACCCAGTTTGGGAGTTGTGGCAGCTCAGAATCTTTCCACAGGGGAGCCTGAAGCCAGCCAGCCAAAGTAGCAGAAGAGAGGCCTGTCTAGGAGCAATGGGGAGGAGTGATGATTCAGCATGTCCCCGTGGCAACCTGTAGTGACAGGGCTCCTATGCAACCCCAACTGACAATTCAAGTAGCTCCCCCTTAGCAGGACCTAAAGGTGGTCAACATGGCAAACACTGCCTACCCTCCCGCCAGTTAGCATGTCCTGGGGCATAGCTGCCTTTGCAAAGAGAATGGGTGGGAACACTTAGTGAATGGGGTTAGTGCTCTACAGATGCAAACATTTTCTTTCAAAAGGATAAAAAGTATATTCACAATTAATCTGATATTGGTCTGGACAAACACTTGTGTATCAAGTAAATGGAAGAGATGTGTAATATATATATAAGGTAACATTTGTCCCCTATGCAAGGACTAGCAAGAAGTCTATGCATCACTTCAATTGCACGCACACAGTCTAAATCAGAATTATGAGTGTGGTAAATGAAGTAACAGCACTTTATTGTCCACTTCCTGTCCATTTCAGATTCATTGACAAAGCAAAAGTGTCAGAAAGAAAACATAGTTCCTCTTCCCACAGAAAGTGAAAGGGAGCCCACACCAGGATGTAATTGGGCTTCTATGCCTAGATTTGTCATGCAGAAGAAGCACTGAGCTGATAATGAATGACCTCCCCAAGGTTCAGAGAATTAAGGACCCATATATTTAGATGCTTAACTGAATGTCCAGACTGCCAAGGTCTGCAAGATGTGTCTGGAAATCTTATGAGAATGGACTCTTACAAGATTTCCAATAATCCCAGCCTCTAATCAGGTGGAGGGAGTAATACTGGGAGAACAGCCTCTTTTACCATATTCTTGTACATTTAACTTCAGGCCCTGATTAGATGTCAGTGTAGAAATGCAGAGACAAAGGGAAACAGAATAATATCAAGCTTAAAATAGGACTATCTTAGAGCTGAACTCAGCTGTAATTCTTGAATATAATCAGATTCATTACCTCTAAAATCTTTTGTGGTAATGTTGTCCTTGACATTGAGAGCAAGATAGATGGGCAGTGGGTTCTGCCCCCAATTCACTGCCTGTTGCTGATCGGACAGTTTATGGTTATTTGTCTGGTTTTGAAGAAAAAAATGGTTAATTGAGAAACAATCACAATGACATAAGAATCCTTGCTTATAGAATCACAGAGCTCTGTTGGGACACTGCAAGTACCAACTCCAGTATACACAGGCAGGTCTGAACTTTCTGCTAACCCCCTCTTCTCACACAGGTCAGATCAACGTAACACGCAAGAAAACTTAACAGAAAAATAAGGATATAGCATCATGTACTGGTATAGATGCTGCTATACAAATCATTACACTCCCATGGCATCTGAATTTGAAAGTCATTGAAATGTTTGAATTCTCATCTATGTTCTCCTCTCTGTACTTGTCTGCACAAAAAGAAAGATTTGGTAGAAGTCAGGGGCCTCTGGAATGGTTTTGGGTAAGAGGGAGTCTGTTAACCAGCCTACATTCTATTTCAATGTGTGATACCAGAATTTACAGACTACACAATATATCCTTAGCTCTGCATTCCCATGTATTGTGAAAAAATGAGATTGCACTATTCCTCCTCTTAACTTATATTTTAGTGTCACATGTTTTTAAATATGATTTTGTCAATGCTCCATATAAATGGCATTCCTCCTAAATTCATTCCAAAGAGTGTTTGTTTAGAAAACAGAAATACTGAGTTAGCTATAGTTGAAAAAAATCTGAACTGTAATATGGTTTTGAACTGTTCTCTAAAAACAGAATTTTGTCCAATTTTACAAAACAACTTGTGGCCCGAGAATAAGAAGGGAAAATGTCACATAAAAAAGGGGCTTGGTTTTGCCCATACAATTACAACTCTTTTATACAGAGATTTAAAATGAAAACTTCTTTCAGCATTAGTGTGGCAATACACCTGAGACACTATGATTTTTTCAAGCTTTGCCTGTCCAAATCTTATAACTTTCAAAACTAGCCACAGAAACACCTGCTTGAGATAAAAACCAAAACAGCTGCCACGAGCTAATGAAGAGCAATTTTAAACGTCCTGTAAGTGTAAGGTCTGATAGGAGTGACAGATTCACTAGAGGTTTTTAATGATTGCATTGAACATACGGTGTATTTTAATACAGTTGAACCTCACTAACACACCCTTTGCTAAATCGCATTCCTTATAACCCACACAAAAATTGACAGTCTTGCTCCAGTTCTCAGCAAAGAGGGAAGTTTCAGTGCACTAAAATTTGGGGTTTTTTTGTTTGGTTGTTTTTTTTACAAAATATACTACAGGCAATGTTGCTGTGGTAGTGTCAGTCCCAGGATATGTGAGAGCAAAGATGGGTGAGGTAATATCTTTAAATGGGTCAACTTCTGTTAGTGAGCTCTGGCTGAGTGTCTCTACAGGCTAACTGTGTCAACAGAAGTTAGTCCAACAAAAGATATTACCTCACCTACCGTGTGTCTTTAATTTATTAATATACTCTGAATTATTAGCCTATCCGTGGTTCTCAATCTTCTCCATACCGAGACCTCTTTTCCACAACAGAAACTCACCCCCAAACATCTGAATTCCCCTTTCAGAATCTAGTCAGAGTCCCCTTTGCCATTTAGCTATATGAGAAGGGCAAGAAGGTTGTCACTCTTCAGGTTCTTAACCCCTGTCCTAAATAATTAACCTGAAAGTACAGTTGAAAAGATAGATGAAAATGCAGTACACATTTCTCATCTGTTTGTTCATTTATACACTAATTCACAAAATGTCATAGCTCACTTTGCCTTGCTGTCACTAGCATATTTTTGCAAGGTCCTACTCCTTGCATGAGGTATTGTTTGCAATCAACCCCGTGGAATTTCTTTGCATGAATAATCCTATACAGATATTGGATAGGTCTTTCAGTCTGGAGGTTAATTTTCTGGAGAATATCATCCTTATTGAAAAGAAGGAATGTATACAGTACCCCATCATTCAACATGGATTCAATCATGAGCCCCCAGAGATCAATAAAAGATGTCTTGTATCCTGCTTGGGTGCGTTGACTCAGCTCTCGATGATAATTCTTCAGACTCTCCAAGGAAAAAGCACTCATTTTGGATTTGGATGCTTGCTTCCGAGCTTCAATGATTAGCTCCCCTAATTCCTTATGTGACCAATCATCATCTTCATACAAGTTTGTCATGGTCCTGGAGACAGAAAATATCGTGTTAAAGATAACAATGAATTAGAATTAGGAGCCTGTGAAAATCAAAAGATCTATGCAGCATAGCTTTATGAAAACTTTTCTTTCAGTTACTTAAGCAAACTTGCACTACCTATCTTTTCTTTAGCGTTTCCAATATGAACACATATGAACACACTCCAAACTATCAAAGCCCATAGAGAAACTCATCTGAAAACTTTGAGTTTGAGGTTAAAGATGTGCAAATGCACATTATTTCTGAGTTTCAGAGTGTCTCCACCCAATGCATATAAATCAGTAGAGGGTCACTCAAAACTCAACACAGGTTTGCTGAAAACCTTACCCAGGATTGAGGAAACACCCACAAATCTCAGATAACCTCTCCCTGTTTCATTAGGAAATTTTTAGTGCATGTCATTGAGAATATATCCTGTAAAATAGGCAATCCAATGGATCCCTTCTGATATTTATGAATGGGATTAAATTACTTAAGATCATTATTTCTGCTGGCTGAAATCTAAGTGTAAGAAAAAGAATGATTAGACAGAAAATAAGAAAATTGCAGGTTGAGGTGAAAACACTCTGTAGCACCTATGTGACATAGAAGCCCAAGTCTCATTTTCAAAAGTAAAATGGGAGCATAAATTTCATTGATTTTCAATGAGACTTCAGCTCTTAAATGCCTGTATCATTTTGAAGATGGGACTAAGACAATTCTGAAAATGTTGCACTTAGGCCATGTCACAGAGGAGTGGGGAGCCACTGGGCCCTGCACCCCCATCAGCAGCCAGATATCACTCTCAGTCAGCCGGTAGAACAGAAGGTTTATTTGTTCACAGGGACACAGCATAGCACAGACTTGTTTTTAGCACAGGAAGCAGGAGCAGTCAGTACAATCCATCTTGGGGAGGGGGTCCCAGAGCCAGGGCCTCCTCCCCGCATCCTAAGCCAGCTGAGACTCACTCAACCAGTCCCAGGCTCCAGGCAGCTCCACCTCCTCCTTTGTCCCCATCCCAGGCAAAAGGTGTTATCTGGTTGCACCCCCCACTTAGGTTACAAAAGAGCCTGCGCTATTATGTATGTGGTGGGCTGGGGCAGCTTCCCCCTCAGTGAGAGGCACACCCAAAACTCCCATCCCCAGCCAAGCATGGATGCAGTGCCCAGAGAAATTGAGGCACACACACAGAGGTACAACAGAGCAGCACAGGACAGTAGGAATCACATACAACATGACAAGCGAACAGAGTGAATACAATCCCCAGTTTGTCACAGGCCACATCTACAGGGACTATAGATGAATAGTTAGGATGCTGTAGCTATGCCCATACTTTATAGTGCAGGGATGGCCAACCTATGGCTCGTGAGAAAGTGTGGCTTGAAAAGCTGCCCCTGCACCCTTACAAAGGGCCCTCAGCTCCCAGTGCTCACCGGGTGCAGGGGAGCCATCCAGTGCAGCAAAGCAAAATAGTGCTGGCAAGATGGCCCCTGGCACCTGATGTGGTCAAAAGCCAAACCGGAGTTTTCATTTAAAGTGATAGTGCCTTTTTTTTTCTTTTGCTCGATCGAACGTGGCAGCAAAAAGACTTTTTTTTTTTTTTTTTTTGCTTGACAACTTTTCCCCCTAGGCTCTTTGTGCACCACTATTCTGGCTCTTTGCCTGTAATGGGTTGGCCACCCCTGTTATAGTGTATTTCCAAGTAAAATGATACATTCCTCAAGCACATCTCTTTCTACCAAAAGCATACAGAAGAATCAAATAAAATACTATGACCTGCTTACCATGTTGTACCAGATGATCCAGAGATATATGAAACACAATCCAGAACATTCAGTTTCTGAAGACCCAAAATGCTGCCATACATGGCTGTTAAAGCTCTTGTCCCAGTTCCTGTTGTTGTCACAGCCACAACTGGCACCTGTGCAACACACAAAGGCAGCAAGTTGATAAACAACATTGAGAGGTCTCAATGGTTAAAAAGGAGCCAGGTAAGCAAAAGGTGAGCTAAACCAAATCTGATTCGTGAGTAGATATACTGTGTCTCCGTAAACTGTGGCACAGCAAGATAATACAGGAAGGGCTGTGCTGCATATGCTTCCTTTTAAATGGTTTGGTATGCCTGGCTGCTCAATACAATGAAAGTCACATTCTTCCATTGTCAAAGTGGGGTTTTTTTTCAGTATGTATGGAAATTGGGGTAAAACTCTCAGCTTTGGGATTCTCCTAATTAAGAAGCCAGCTGGAGACCTACACAGGAATATAGGATTTGCCAATCCAGAAGAGAACATTGATCTGTCAAATCTGAGACCATTTTGGCTGAACAGGACCTAGAAATAAAACTTCCTCATGGGACACCCTTTTCCCAGACTGAATGGGGGCCTGATGGTGGTAGAACATTCAAGTGCCTATTGTCCTGGCCTGGGGAAAGAAGAGAGAAGGATCTCCTAGGTATTATCTTTCTACACAGGACACACCCTACACCTTTAATGTCCTGTGACAGCACACCACGCATCATAATTGGCACCAGCATTGACTCCCACTGAAAGACCAAGACAGACTCCCTGTAGATTTCAATGGGTTTTGGGCCCAGCTTTTAGTACTCAATAGGCTGGGCATTTGTCTGGGGAAATATAGGACACAAGATTCTGCTGCCTCAACTACCTCATGGTCCTTTAGATCCTCTTCTAGCTGAAGAACCTTCTTTAGAGCAGCAGCAACCACTTTCTTCCGATACTTCAGGAAATTTTGTTCCTCTGTGCACAGGTCAAATCCCAAACGTACATCTAGTTTTCTTGAGGTATTAAACAGGCCCTGAGTCCTGAGGCCAAGGTAAAACCCACAAATTACCACCTGTTGTAGTTAATTTCAATTGCTCTCTCCATATATATTTTAAAAAAAACCACATTAGATGGAATATCTTTTCCATAAACCTAACACCTCTCTGTAGACAGGGTAATGTGAGAAATGAGGGAGAAAGAAAAATTGGCTTAAACTTAATTGCATAAGTGGCCCCATTTTCAAGGGGACTGGGAACATGTTTAAAGGGAAGCATGGGTTGGTTTCTGTGCTTTGCTGGATCATGACCAAAAATCTTAACACTTGCAGGGTAGAGCTCTAAAGTGTGTACCACAGAAGAACAAGGCTGTGGGAAGGGAGAGGACCCACAGCAGCCACTATGTTTACAGATTTCTAGTTTGACTGGTACTTCTATGGCATGGAATGAAAGAGATTCATTAAAATGATTAGCCTGTTTGCAATGTGTTGTGTTTCAATACATATTCTCATCTACTGTTGAAATTAATTACAGGTTATTCTGCTTTGCTAAATGATTGCAGCATATATGATTACGTAATCATATTATTCCCTGGCAAGGAAAGGGAAAAACTCAGCTGATATTATCCGCTTCCAAAGGATAAATGGCCTCATATTGCAACTGGCAAATCACATGTACAGAGCCCTGTTGATTTCACTTGAGCTCTGCATAGGCCCAGCAGCACAGATCCAAAAGCAAGATTGGGGCCCATGAGAAGATCTTACCATTCTTTTGGCTTCACATGCAAATCAAATGTTCTCAGCTGAAAAACAAGAATGAGAAAATCGTTAGTGCCATCATATTTTCAAGCTTCTGTGTCCTCCCAACCTTGGAATGAGTTTTACCTGCTCTGTAATTAGTACTGAAGTCACAGGGCCTGACCATTAATAATTCAAGAAAGATAGCTCTAGACAGACTCAAAATTAGAGCTGTGTGAATACTGGACAATGCGAAAAAATTGGAGGGAGGATGAAATCATTTCAAACTGACCCAAAATGATTTTTTTCCCAATTTTTGGATAAATTAAAAGTTTAAAAATTACGTTGGGTTAAATTAAATGTTTCAGTCAACCCAAAATTTTCACTTTCAAGCTTTTAAATATTTTTAGACAACTAAAACTGAAGCCAATTTTGAGACAAAACATTATTTTGAATTGAAAAATAAAAGCCTTTTATTTCAGAAATGGATTTTTCATTTTTTAAAATTTTATTGGGGGGTTTTCAACTGAAACAACACAGCAAATTCAATACACATTTGAGAAGTCATCCTTGACTCAAATGTGCATTTTTCATAAAACAGTTTTATCTTAAAAAATTCACAGAGCTCTACTCAGCACCACTAGTTAATTCTCATTATACTATTTGAACTCTATTTTTCCAATGTTTTCAGGCACCTGTATCAGTTTAAAAAAATGTAAGCCCTCAGACAATAATTGCCACCTTTAGTTAAACTATGCATACCAATATATGCTCTAAATCTCAGGCTCCTTAGCCCTGGAAATGGGTTAATGATGGGACAAAGCATAAATCAGTGTAGTTCCATTAAGATCAATACGAATATGCTAATATAGACCATCTGAGAATCCAACCCTATGGGTACAAACTTATTTTTTACGTGAATATATCATGCATGTTTGTGTTCATTTAACTCTGGTTTGTTGTTGTTTTAATTTGGATTCCATTTCTCTTGTCTTCAATGTTGAATAAAGGAAGGTGGGGGGGAAGGAAATAAATCCCTCCCCAAAAGAGGCAGAACTAGCCTTATGCACTGAACACAAAGAAATGCTTCTATTACAGGACGTTCTGGCAGCATTTTTGTTAAGGTTGCGATTTATTAAGGTTGCCCAACTTTCCCATTATAGATACTGGGTTTTTAGTTGCTTGTAACTTTGACAGGCTTTAATGTTCGGGCTGAAATTCTCCATGATGGGATTCTGCCCCTAGATGAATATGTTTGGAAAGTTTCAAACAATTCTTCATGGTAGTGCCCCTATGGTTTGGAACAGGGACTTGAACTTGAAATTTTGTGTCAAGGATGTGCCATTTCTTGTTCTGATAAAAATCCACACATTTGACTAAATTGTAATTCTTTGAAACAAAAACCAGACCAAGGAAAAATAAAAATCAGATTAGGATGAGGAGCCAGGATGACAGGGTGAAACTGGTACTGGAAACTCTGAGGGAGGTAAGAAAGGTACAAAGTGGGATTGGAGTGAGACTAGAATGGACAGGGCAAGGAGACTGGGTTTGTGGGAGTGGGGTAGAAACTGGAAGGTAGTGGAATATTGGGACTGACTGGTTGCAGGAAGAATGAGATTGAGACCCTAATTGGGTGGAGAATGGGACAGAATTGAGATGAAGATGGTGCTGGTTTGGCAAGAAGGTTGGAATTGAAATGTGAAGCCAGGTGTGGAAAGGTTGAAAGAGATGGAGGAGAAGGGAACGATCTTGAGAGGAATGGACAGAAAGATCTGTGATCGCTGGATGTGCTACCCTTCAGAGCCTGGAACAGGATTCTATATTCCTGATTCTCTAAATTCCTCTGCTATCAGCAAATATCTGTTTGTCCCACTAGCAAAGGGGATGTGTCATATCCCATTCTTGTGCTGTTCCATATAGACCAGTGGTCCCCAACCTTTTGGGTCTGCTGGGTGCCTGGGAGCGGGGCCGCGCATGCACTTCATGCCTGGGGGTGGGGCCAGGCATGCACCACGCGCCTGGGGGCAGCACCGTGCATGTGTCACATGCCCGGGGTGCAAGAATGGCTTAAGCTGGCCCAGGTCACTCCGTGGGCGCACATAAATGCCCCAGCCGGTGCCATGGCGCCTGCAGGCACCACATTATAGTGGGGACCGCTGATATAGATGATGACACCCTACTATTGCTATCAGTTACTCCATTGACTCAAGAGGCAGATGTCTGGACAGTGAATGTAAAAGTTCCAGCTCTGATAAGGAGCCATATGGATATCAATACGATGCCATATGGGGAAATTTCAGGGGGGAGGGGTGTTCAGTTTGTTAAGTTTTCAGTCAAGCACTCACGAGGTAGGAAATGCCAAAATTAAGGGTATCTGTGCAACCTTAAGTTGGCCTTTTGTGCATCCACATTATGATAAGAGTCTTTAATTATATGATTACATATTATTTCCCACAGGACCCCTGGATCATTTAGTGCTCAGGATGGATCGCATCAGGTTTGTATAGTAAAAAGGACTTGTCTGTAGGACCTCTGCCTCATTTGTTGCAGAAGTTGGAAGGAGCATAGTGAATAATGTGCAGGGGATTACAGGATGAGGAAAGATGGTCTCATCATTAAGGCAGTTTAATGCTGTCCATTATTCTACTCCTGCATCATCTATAGAGTTCCTAGGTGGTACAGGGCAATTAGTTTAAACCAGGCTAATAATGGACAGCATTAAACTACTCCTGCATCATCTATAGAGTTCCTAGGTGGTACAGGGCAATTAGTTTAAACCAGGCTTTACAAAGTGATCATGATCAACCTTGAGACTTTGTGATCTGATTTGCAGAAGTGTGGACACTTTGGTCTTCCTTCCTTCTGTATCTGAGTTCTCCATCTGTAAAGAGGGGATAATAACCATTCCTCTTGCGGGGTTTTGGGAAGATAAATTCATCAACATTTCTGAAACATTGAGATACTATTAGTGATGAGCAGCATACAAAATCCCATGAGGAAATTAATAATTGTGTTTTAGGAACAGGGTTTGAATAGTGGGTAGTAAATAAAGCTTGAAGACACAAACTGAACAAAGAGAAGAAATCAAAATATTGAACAGCTGCTTAGTAAGTGTACACCATCTGTTCTGTGAGCTGAATGAGGCAGAGGTCCTGTGGGAAAAAAGAGCATGTTGCCATATAACTAAAAACTGTATTATAATGCACATGCTCAAGGGAACTTTAGTTGTGGTATTTCCTAACTTTCAAGTACTTGACTTTGTGTTCTTTTAATGTGCATGTATTCACACCCACGTGTGTGTACCCAACAACATATGAACTGACTAGAGTTTAGCAACAAAGCAAAGTTATTTCCTTGTAAGCTGAAATCAACATGGTTTGATATTTATTCTATAAAGTCTAGTGGGCTGGTACTCACCTCTCCTATTGTTACTTTATCTTGAATGGGAAGTGAATTCAGAGCTAGAGTCAGGGACTCACCTTCATCTTGACTTGAGGAAGACTAAAAAAAAAATGGTCGGGGAGGTTAATTTTAATACGACAAGCAGAAAATGGTTAAACGTATCACCCCCATATTTACAGGTCCCCAGAAAAGATAAACCGATGGGCTGTATTCATAAACATCTGTGATAATAACGTACTGTGGAGAGCTGTCTCCTATTCGGCAGTGCAATGCCCAGTTCTGATTGACTGTATTTGATATAGTGGAACGTGACAGGAGAAGCAGGACAAAGGCAGGGGCTCAGAGAAAGGTGCTGGGTGCCTTCATAGGATCCTTCCACTGTAAATGCGAATTTTCTTTCTAAACAGATGACAAAGTAGACACTGAATCCATGGTTATCATCCCATCTTTAACTGATTTACAATATTTCAGAGTTCTCTACCTCAAACTCATAATGTGGATGCTGCTTAACAAGCCAATAATGCTCAAAAACACCATATTAAACCATTTTCCATAATGTTTTGTAGCCATTATAAACATTGTATAGAGGCCCAGCCCTGTGAAGTCATTGGGGTTCCAAGGGTCTAAAATCCAGGGTCCAGCAACATCTGTGATCCAGCAGGATCATGGATATTGATTGACCAGAGAGCCCCATTGGGCCAGGTACAGGGCTGGGCTGGCAGTGGGGAGCACAACCCTAGCAGCAGCAAGGCTGGTGCAGTGAGGAGCACAGCCCCAGCTGGGGCTAGCAATGGGGCCAGCACAGTGGGGAGTGCAACCCTCTCCAGATCAGAGGCAGCGGGGCCAGTGGTTGAGAGAGAAGCCCAGAGTGGCACCCGGGAGTGCAGCCTGGGCCGGCAGTCGAAAGCACAATCCTGGCCATGATGAGCAGGGAGTGCGGCCCCAGCTGGGACCAGAAGCAGAGTCCAGTGTCTGGTTCTAACACCCTGGAAACAGAGTCAACAGTGGGAAGAGAAGCCTTGAATCTCCCCTGGTCCAGCAAACTCCGTGGTTCAGGACCACTCAGGTCCTGAGGGTGCTATACCAGGGACGTTCTCTCTCTGCTGGTGAGATGACACACACATGCCAAACCACTGGCTTCAGTTGATTATAATTTACTGTGGAAATTTCTGTTTCTAGAAAGATGAGATTTTCAAACCAACTTGGTGCTAGCATAACTCAGTTCACAGAGAAATCAATGACAATATAACCTTTCATCTCCTTGATCCTTCTTGAGTTAGCGGGGAACGGGGGAGGGGGAAATATTTTCTCCTCTTATGGAACATTTTATTCACTTTTTATAAACTTTCATCTACTTGATCCTTCTTGAGTTAGCGGGGGACGGGGGGGAAATATTTTCTGCTCTTATGGAACATTTTATTCACTTTTTGCAGTCAGAGAATTGAAAAGTTTATAAGCTTAAAAAGTCGTATTTACACTTTAGATAGATATGGTTTGGGCCCTTATCTCCCTCTCTATGAACAACAGGAAAAGAATCACATCAATTCACGCATTTAAGGCTATGTACGTCATACATGAAATCCCTGAAAGGATTTTCTCAGTCAGGGAACTTGAGCTCTGATCCAGTATGAGAGCAGTGCCTTTGACATCAATGTGACAGTCCGTGCACTTATATGTTTGCTGAATCGGAGACCAACGCATGATATTTTTCAAGTTGCTTTGCAAACCTATAAGATTATGGCTATAGAGGAAAGAAAATGGCTATGCACAGCCCAAGATGTGCAATGAGTTTCTTGGATAGTAGGGAATATTTTCAATCTCTAACTACTGTTTCTCACTCCACCAATTCCTATATTCTCTGAACACAAGCACCTGGAAGTATTTCACCCCAGCTCTTGCCATAGATCAAGTATGGAAAATTTCCTTTCTAGGCATGAATGTTTCAGAAAGTTATGAGTAGCCAACAACATGTGCTGAAGAAAACAACTCTGCTTAATTAACTACAGTGAGTGTTCAATTGTGAATGCTATAATACTCCCTTTATATTATCTGATCAGATAGAACCTGATTCAAAGCCTATAGGACTTGGTGGGAATCTCACCTTTCATTGAAACATAATGCCCTTACTGTAATGTATATGAACAAATCACCCCAGAAATGTCCGATATTTTTGTGTTGAAATTGGAAGCAGTTTCATCCAACTCCACCAGCTAAAGAAGCACTAACCTGTGGATTCCTTCTTTAGTCTCCCCTCATTCACCTGAACTTCCAAACAGGCAACTTCACGAGACTATACCAGAGACAACCAATAAAAGATGGATAAAATGACATTGACATAACTGAAATCGATTCCCCTGCTAGTCGCTTGGTATATGGATGGAAATGGGGTGGGAGTGTTATGCAGAAAACAAGATCAGCCCCTGGGAGGACTAATTTACTTCACAATGCTCTGCCAATGTAAATCTCTGAAGAGATTCATGTCTAGTACTTAGCCCAAAGGATAGTCGGTTGTGACTTGCTATGTGATGTCTGGGATTTTAGCATACAGATGGAGAAAACAGAAATACCCTCAGGCCTCCCCACAAAAGGCAATAGATTCTCCAGCAGGAAAAAAGAGAAAGCTACCACAAAAACAGTTGCTATTGAAAGGACCAGACAGAGAGGAAGCTTTATAGTTACACATATTTTGCCACCTTGTCCCAGCCATAGTGTAGATAATGATGCATGGAAAATCTCACAACTACTCCAATTTTAGCTGCGGCCAACAGGAGTCACTCTAAATAATGGTGCAGAAACACAGGCTGTGAGGGTGCTCATAGGTGTACCACTTCTAGTCTTTGCCAGCGAGTGGCACTTTGTAGGACTGTGGAACAGTGCAGCTCGGGGCAGTTCATCGCTGTTCCAGTTCAGACTCTCCTAATATGGGAGATGTGTGGGATTGTCATGTTGTTCACTGTGATCCTACAGAAGCCTACCTCTCAGAAGAGGTTTTGTGTTGGAAGGGTAACTATAGGGCAACTCATCCCCTGATCCAAGCAATATGATGTGCATTGTTACTCAGTAGAGGACAGTTATTAGAAAATAAAAATTACCACTAATACACCATTAGTAGCGATGTTTTCAGGAAGATCTGGACTAGAGGGGGAAAAAAACACACTCAGTTTGTAAGTAACTTTAAGGACATGAATTGCCATTTTTGTTCTTTGTGTGTATTTTGCTAATTTTAATTTTTGTATCACTCTTGAAAATGTTGGGTCTGACAGCATAGGCTAGCAATAGGAGTAATTCCAAATATATGGTCCAGTTTCCCTCATGTTCCTTGTGAACACTAAATAAATCTGGCCTCTTAATAGCACGTCTACACAACAGGGCAAAACTTGAAATAAGCTACGCAACTTGAGCTACACTGATTGCGTAGCTTAAGTCGAAATAGCTTATTTCAATTTTTGGTGCTGACTACACAGCAATTATTTCAAAATTCAGCACTCTTCCTCCAACTTCCCTTACTCATACAATAAGGGTTACAGGAGTCGGAGTAAGCAGTTCTCCAGCTCGACATTATGTCGAAATTACTGCTTGTAGTGTAGACATGGGTATATTAGTTTGGAATAATATCAATCATTCTGAAATAATGCTGTCATGTAGACATAGCCTAAAGCCCCAGCTTCTACTACTAGAACTCTGCTGAGCAGAGACTCTTCATTTTGTCAAAAGAGAGGCGTTTTCAAATGTACATAAAGCTGAGTTTGCTGACAGCTAGAAACCACTGAATTTATTCCATTAGCCCAAAATACTCACACCTGACCCTGGAGTTCCAGCTCTGAAAGGCTAATGAATTTGTCCAACATATCGAGATAATTTTCCCCATTCACTTTGAATATCAATAACTGAGATATACATGCCCATCCTATTATTTCACCAAGAGGAGTTAAAAGCTTTTTTAGTTACTTAAAACTGTGTTAATTGCCACATACAAAACATAGGTGAGGGAAATCAGTAGACATTCCTGCACTTCACTCGGTTTTCATTTTAGCTTTAAAATTCACCTCGATGCCTACATGTGACCACATAAATGTCTAACATTGCCAATCAATCCACTATTCAATGACATACAGAAACATCCAACTAGTGCATTTGTCTGAACATACACTATCGACCACATTCACATTGCTTTAGGTGAGAGCAAGTATGCAAATCATGTTCCTCGTTTTACTCAGTCCCTGATACTTCTAACAAGTACATTGTTTGACAACATTTGAATTTTACTCACCTGCTCTCCATTGTGAACTCAACCTCTAGCTCCTCCTTTCCCTAAAAATGAAAATAAATTAAGTCACTACATCATCATTCTTCTCCATAAAGTTACGGAGTAAAACCTGACCACATGATATGCATAGAAATTATACAAAATAACTTTCCCCTCTTCTTGGGACAAATGCAATGGGCTTCATTTTTCTCTACTTCAGTTACTTTATATCATTATATTATTCTGCTTCCCAGTAGCTGACCTTGCCATTATAGGGAGAGGCTTTTGAAATAAGTCACACTTGTCATTCTCTTTTCTTTCTTTGTGGAAAGAGAGAAAGAGAACTATTTAGAAATGGAAAAAAAAAAACCCCAACAAAGTCTCATCTGCACTTGAAAATGCCCCTTACCTTAGCAGCCGCAATTTCTAACCTGTTGATCACAATATATAGACCATATCAGCCTCCTGATATTAAATTTTCCTTTCAACTGACCTTACTTTCTAGTGACAATAATTAGTCACTTAGGAAAACATGAAATACAGAGCTCAATTTTCTGATATATGCACCCAAATCTTTGGAGACTTAAACCATAAAATTGGAATTAATATGTCTCAGGGCTGATATGAGCTCTCCAGCATGAAATAAGTTTGTATTCACCATAAGGACATGGGTTTAAGTTGTATTTAGATATTCATATTTGATCATTGGGCTCACAGTACATAACTGCAACAGCAATTGTTTCTGTGTCAGTGCAAAATAGTACCTCTTCCACACATCAGAATCACTAGCTCCAATTGCAAAAGAATCTCTAATACTATTACAGGGCAATACACAAGTCTTTGGCTTTGGGCTTTGCTATGAAAATCAGCAATAGAACAGACTTGGTCAACATTGTCAAATTCCCACAAGTGTCCTTTGTACAACTGTAAACATGCTTGTCCACACTTCTATTTTAAATACAGAAACAATATTGAGGTGTATTATTTTGAAACAAGTTGAAAAGTTGATATGGGCAGATGGCTAACACAGTAAATACACAAGGAAAAAATAAGCTCTGTATTAAAATATTTATGAAAAAAACTGAGACAAGTGTATCCTTCGCATCAAATTCTGCCTTTGATTTCAAACCTCACCTTTGGATTCACCTGAAAGTTCAGCCGAACTGTTTCTCCAAGTTGGATTTTAGACACATCAAAGAAAACAGTGAGGAGATGGTCATCTGGAGTGTGTTCATCTTCATCACAAACTTTCAGCTCCAGGATGTTCTGGATACAAAAGTAAAATAATGTGTATGTGTCTAGGAAGCAGAAGTTCCATCCCTCACTAGTGGGGAAATGAGCTGTACAATTAAAAGATGAGGTAGAAAATGAGACAGAAAACTTCATTATGAATAAGTATATTCAAAGTCTATTGTTTTGTTGCCTGCCCAGTTTTAATGTCAAAGGCTAGAACTGTGGTCAAATAACACACAGATGCCTTTACATGGACTAAGACATGCAACCTCAACTGAGTTGTCTCAAAGAGTTCTCTACAGTAATCCCTTCTATCCATAGGCGTGCGCATGGGGTGTGCCGTGTGTGCCCAGGATAGTTGCATGAGGGGGGTTTGGTGAGGGCCAAACTAATCCCTATTGGTAAGAGGATGGTGGGAAAAGTCCTTGGAGGAGGATGTCACATGATACCTTTTATTTCTGGTCATGTGTCCATATTGCCCCAAAAGTATTACCTCCAGAGGCGTGGCTAATGGGGGTGAAAGAGTACCTTTACAAAAATTCTTTGGGTGCACACCCTAATGAAATGTGTTGCTCACGCCTATGCTTCTACCCAAAAAAACCCTATTGTAATTTCTTCTGCCAGAAAAAAAAAGGCAAACCATCATACAGCCATTTACCAGGTATATCCATGCTAAATACTATAGCGGGGCAAGAAAATTACTGTTAAGCTCCTGGTGATTACAGGATTAATACATATTTATCTATTTCCACTAATCCAAAATGCAGGTCAGCTGGTGATTACTTTTGTATCTGATTAACATAATAACATATCATATAAAAGTAACTAGTATAATTACTGCATAATTATTAGGCCCTATGCTCTCCCCTACTACAAGATGAAGAGAGGAACAAAACTGCACAAAAATGTTTGAAAGGACCGTGCAGAGGGGAAAAGTTACTCTGGATATTCGCCCCCTGCTGCAAACAATGTGAGGCTTGCTACCCAGTTCTGAAGTGTAATTCAATTTGCCTTCAAGAAGGAATGATGAAGACATATATCTCTGCCTACCTACATTTTGTACACAAAAGGTAGAAAAATCTCGAGTGACAGCAAAGAACCAGAGTGGAAATACATCATAACTTGTGCGATACTAGTTGTTGGTCACATGTTTCCATTCGTCTTTTCCAGTAGAGCCAGCCCTTCTACATTGCTCTGTTTGGTGCTCATATACTACATGAGTTGGAGTGTACCCAGGCCACCAGCTTAGGGCCTGCTGCTCAAACCCAGGTTGGGCTGAGAGTTTCCTACTTTGAGGCTGCAATACACGATGGGGATACAAAGCAGCATTTCTATTGCTTTGAGAAATCTTATTTTACCATGTCAGAAATTGTCAGGATGTAAATGTCATTTGTGGAGTTTTGCTTGTGATATTTTTATAATCTAGGAAGAAGGGAGCTGTTAAAATGCCGTGGGGTGGGCGGGGGAGGAAGTGTCAGAAAACATGAACAACTTGACTCAGTCTGGTTGACAGGGTAGAGATCTACCAGGGCCTGACAGCAAAGAGTTCACAGTCTCTTACCTTGACCTGACTCTGAATCCTGAAATGGAAGGTTTCATTCCACACTGGGTTTTTGGAGTTATTGACAGTTTTGGTCCGGACCTTTGTGACTGAAGAAGTTGGTAGCCATAGGCTCACATAGCAGTCAGATTGGGTTACTGTGCAAAAAAGGTACAGAATAAATGTAATGAGGTGATAAGCCATATCCACCATTGGCTTATTTACGGAACTAAGTTATTCTCTGCATACATGGAGACAGAGAGGATTAAATACAGCTGATATTTCATCATTTCTGTCCAATATAAAGAGCCCATTGCCTCAACCAATTTTCTCTTATTTAAAAACTGTTAATATTTTTAATTATTAGAAATGGAATGACTAAACTAAAACCTGTTCAAAATGCATAGCTATATTGCTTTCTCTACCAAGGAGACAGAGAATCTGTTTGTATGATTTGCATTATTTGGGGGTTCAAAAAAGGTTAGTAGTCTACAAAATGTGCTCTGCTCGCTAAAGAGGTGTTTATCTTCTCAGCCAGCTAGCATATTTTCAGCTGTCAGAAGCGTGTGCTGCTCAGGGATACATTCTGCTCCGAAGCAAAAGTAGCAGCACATTCACTTCGCTAGCCCTTTCTGCAGCTATGGGACACATGAAGACCACAACTACCACCATTCCTGTAAAATCAATGCAGGATTATGACTAGGCATTTCCCAATGTCAACTGGCAAGAGGATTACAAAAATATCCTGTTCATTCTAGTTCACCAACAAATATCGTAAGAAATCTTAAATGAAAGCCATTTCATCATTAATACTATTGTAAAATGTATGTGCAGATTCTATGTAAGACATTATGAATGCATATGGCAAATATGTTACTAAAGTTCTATATTAGGACACAGTTGACAAACAGGTTTTCTGCCAAACAAAAAATGTGTATTCACTTGTCTCTGTTGACATGTGAATTAAGCATTGTAAGCCAACACAACAGAATCTCCATTTACATACAAAGTCAACGGGAGAATGTGAAAAACGACAGGGCGGCATCACGCCAAAGCACAGGCCGGGGAGAGAAGTATTGGACTCTGTATACAAACAGTGAGCTCTGAGGGATATATAGAAAAGGAAAGGCAGACATCACATATCTATCTTGCACCTAGGACATAATCAGGCAGTACAATTACATCAATGTAAATGAGATCACAATCTGCCCTGTTTGAAATGCTGCAAAGAATGAGATAAACATCTGATAGGAGACTAGGGAGTCAACCCTAAAGAGACTCTCTCAGCTGAACAAACCTCGGGGGTCTAGGACTCAGGGTGTGTCCAATCCTAAAGGAAATTGAGACTCTTTGAGGGTCTGCCACATGAAAGGGGCTGCTCCAAGAGACTGTTTAGAAGCTGTGGCATAACTCAAATCCTGTGGATCTGTGGCAACAGCACAGACAGCTTATCAGCTTTTGGTTTATGGGTACAGAATGTCTGGATTAGCAAGACCTTTTGCTGGCTCACAGATGGACAAAGAATCCACTTCTAGATTGAAAGGGCTTCCTACAGATTGGCAAAAAAAGATATGGTAGTGCTTGCTATGGTAATTGTGACTGTGATTCCTGCTCCTTTTGTTTGCCCAGTGTCCTCTTTTCTTATTGTTCATCTGGCTTCACAGCTTTCTGCAACGGGAACTCATCCAATTTATGTATTTGCTTCTATAGCAGTAAGGGGCAACCCATTCTAGTGAATGGGCTGCATGAGTGTCCCTCCATCTCAGAGGGTCACGTGTTTGTCCTAATCAAGATGGGCTCCTATGACTGGAGAGTTTTGCTAATTACACTTGTGTACCTAGAATTTGTGGGGTGGGCCAACTGAACTGTAGCAGCCGCTTAATTGGATGCAGAGGGAGTGCACGCCTCTCACAATGTTGCCCACCACTGTTCTATAGGGTGTTTCTCATCATGGGGATGTTCCTTGTTCAGGATGTTTTTGAATCACTAAAGCAACCATAACAAATTGTGATAACTACAATGTATCTACTTGGTGGGAGTTGCTAGTGAGGTATCGAGGGACTGGTGCTTGGAAATGTCTGATTAAACACCTTCATCTGGAAGGAGTAATCAGATGATATTATATTTGAGTTCTAAATGTGACAGATAAATTATACAAAGAGATTGAAAATCTGAGCTGAAAATAACAAAATTAGGTTCATAGTGGGAAAAATGCTAGGTACAACACCTGGAGAAAAAACAACTTTAAATACAGATATTCAGTGGGAGAAAATAGGCTGTAAAGCTCTGATGGATAAAGCCACTTATGGACAATAGATTAGGTATGAGTTTGCAATAGACTAGGTTGCATAAAAGATCAACGTAATTTTGGGCTGCACATACAAAAGCATTACACACCACTGAACAGGAGAAGTAGCAATCCCTCACTATCTGGCTCTTGTGCAATGACTTCTGGAATAGTCTATTTAATTCTAGGCATCACGTCTCCCAAAATAGAGCAACCAGCTGAAGGGAATCACAAGAAGAAGTACAAAATGGAGACAGAATGAAAAGACTGATTTCTGAAGAATGATTTTAAAAGCGAAGTACGTATAGTTCGGTTCAGATATAAGATAGATATTCTATCTACAGGTGTCCACAGGAGGGAGAAGTATTACTCATAATCATGCACAAAATTTTGACTTACACTATTGAAATGAAACTAAGAGAAGAAAATATTAATCTTAATATTAAGAAATTGACACTGTGGAGAAATCTCCCATGAACCGTGGTGGAGGCTCATCCTTCCAGGATTTAAAATCTAGACCCGTACAAAATGCTAAGAAAATGGACAGTAGGCAGATAACTTGGTGATCTAGTGAAGTCTTCCACCTTTCTATGATTCTATACAAATTGGTGAGTCTTGTGTTCTTTTATATCTTCCTATTAAAATTCTTATGTTGTTACACCCTTCCCGTTTGTTTCTACACAGCATAGGTTACACCCAGTTCCCAACATATAATTTACACTACACTGTCATCCTTGAATTTGGCCCAAGGCATTTGAACACTTTTTAAAAGACAGACATTTAAAAGTTAAACCCTGTTTTAATTTTTTACCAATTTTTTACATACTTCATAGGAGGCAGTTCTGTTATAGCCATATGAGATCCCATTAGTACATACAAATTAGATTCTGCGAATTACAGTGAACAAATGTTAGTGAAATTAAATATTCTCATTTTGGCCCCAATCCTACAACTAGATCCATTCAAGTGAACCCACAGATATATTAAGAACACGGAGGGCTTCAAGTGAGGCTCTACACGGGGTCTGTCCTCATTGTTTTAGTTGTACGTGTGGGACTCAATATAGAAATACTTCACACAGGATTATTTTCATGAAATGTTGTAGTATTGAGTACTAGGAATGGTGAGTGGGGAGTTATGTGAAGACAGAATCACATGTGCCACCATTTTTTTACTGTCTAATTTCAATCTTGTGGACTAATCATCTTCACTCATGCATTAATAAGCACAGATAGTCTGCAACTCCTACTTGCAAAATTTCCTCAACATTTTTCAGAACATCCACCAAACCAATCAGTTTACCACAATCGCTTCCTGCATATTAATATCTGCCTCAGAAGGGGTGATGCTTTTTTATTTCAAAACTTTATTTCATTTACTTCTTGATCTTTTGCACATAGGAAATTTTTTTCTGGGAGTCTGCTGTTCATCATATGAAGGGCATGTCCACTCCACCAAAACTCTCCTTTTACAAGCATCATTTCAATGTTATTTGTGCAACTTCTTATTATTCATGATTTTATCTTGCCACTTTGTGTGAATAATAGCTTAGAGATGTTGATGAAATGGTTTCAGCATTTATTTGCATGCAATTACTTGCCTATGTTTCACAGAATAAGGTGGAATGGTTGCAGCATGGTAAACAAATGGTTCCAGACATAAAATTGTTTTCTGTTATGGTGTCAATATGCATTTTATATTCACACACTGACTTTAACAGGCAGCATGATCTAGTGGAATAAATATAAGACTGGGAACTTGGAACTCCTGACTTCTAATCCTGGCTCTTCCAATACCTAGTCCTTTATCCAAAGATCTTCTTGAATTAGAAAGGACAGTATCCAGTTGCTAGGAACTCCACACATAGACACACGAATCAAATGCAAGGAAGGGATAAAGATAAATGCCTTACCTCACTGAAGACATTTACAGAAAGGAAATGGAAAGATCTGGCAAGGGAGTATGGTAAGTCAGTACAATGCAAGGGTCCATTAGAGGGGATTTATGTGGGGAGACAAACCTAGAAATATCTCAACAGGGAGAAATATTGTTCAGACCCTTAGACGAGCTCAATCTCCTCAAACAGGATGGAGATAAGGAAGGAACTCCCTTTTCTGCTCAGAGAGGTCCTGAATTCCTGCACTGGGCCATTGGGAGAAGGAGCCTGGGAACTCATTTTTTGGCTCTTCTCTCCTTATGCTCAGCAACAGGAAAGAGGTCTGCAGGAACATGAAATTCTACCTAATTACTTCACTCCCCTTCCATAGTGAGTGGGATGAGAAGGCTCTTCTTCCCACCCATTTGTCAGTGGGAGAAACCCTTAGGGGACCCAAATAAAAACCCCATATCGGGCCCTCTAGGTTGAATTATACATGGGAGCCCAAAACTTCTGGATGGTTGCAATCCTATATCATTTTATCTGAATCAAGGTAGTTCAGCCTCTCTATTTAAAATAGTTTCACCAATAAATAGGAGAGACGCAAGAAAATCCATATGAGAACAGAAGTGAATTATATTCCTTTTTCTTCTCCTCTAACATAGTATCATCTGTTCTCTTTACACTATGGTTACCTCAGAGGGAGATACCTTCAAACACAAGCTCTGCAAGGTTCCCCTCATGGGACTTCCCATCAAAGGCTGAGGTTTGCCCTCCTGAGGAAGATATTGGGAACCTGGCCCATAAACCTTGCCAACCCCCTGGAATCTAGTGGGGACACACGGCTATCCACGTGCAAGCCTTGTACCTCAGCATTGGTTTCAGATTCCCTGAAACTCTGCCATGGCTTCCTGATACTGTGTGTTCTTGGAAGCCACAAAGCAAGGAACCCTGGAGCTGGTGCCTTTCCTTCTGAGCCCCACCCTCCTTAAAAGATGTTCCTCAGTCTAAAGGGTATTTCACAGCACACAAGAGATCATGAACATCTCCCCTTATTCCCCCCCCCACACACACACACAGCTCCTGCTCTTGAACCCCTGGACCGACAGAGACCACTCTGTGGTGCTTTTCAGAGGAATGGCAGGGAGACCAGCACTGTGGAGGTGCTTGACCTCCTGCTCTTGAACCCCTGGACCAACAGAGACCACTCTGTGGTGCTTTTCAGAGGAATGGCAGGGAGACCAGCACTGTGGAGGTGCTTGACCCTTCAACCATCTACCTGGGGAGAGTCACACAGAGACGTTCCTGTCTGTGCATACTCTGGGCTTTGGTTCTCTTGTGCAGGAGAGCCAACAGCCTCCACGGGCCACTAGGGTTATGCTTTCCCAGAAAGGGTGGAGCCTTGGGCAGATGGGACAGAGCTGGGCCGGCCAGCCCTCCTCATCACCCAGAGCACTTAGAGTGCATGATGCTCTGACAGCAAATTAAAGTAACAGTAGCAGCATCTAGGAGCCCTGGGCCCCTTTGAATCACCAGGCCCCCAGGACACTGCCCCTTCTGCCCTCACCATCAGCAGGTCTGCTCTTGTGTGTTTTAAAGTATTATTGAATCTGGCAATGCTATATGGCTTCTGTGGGACAAGGCACTCTACCAGAAATTCTTGTTGTCAGCGTGGTAATTGGATTTAGAATTTCACTGACAAAGGCTCTTATAATTTGCAATGTTTTGCAAGCATACACTTGGGATCTAGGTATACCATAGAGATGCCTCGATGCCTCCCTCTCCCACATTGTGTGTGTGTGTGTGTGTGTGTAACCTGTATGAGTGTTTATGTCGCTTGGTTATATATCCAGTATTTTCACACCTTGGATGTTCTAAGACTGGAGAAATACTCACCCAGGTCAGCCTTCCGCAGATTTTTCATTCTGATAATTTTTACACTGAGCAAGTTGCAAGGAGAGGACTCCATCTTCTGAACAATGTCATATAAAATTGAACATAGACAGAAAGAAAGAAAGAAAGAAAAGATGAATCAGCTATAGTGTCACCTTAAATGTTTCAATACTAATCACTGAAGACATGTTCTGCTTCTTTCTCTGTGCAGGTTTATGGCCATGTAGATCCATTCTGTGTATGAAACCAATGGTCAAACCTCCAGTTTTCCCAGATTCTTCCCTTTCTATTCTGGATGAGCTGGGGGGAAGACTCCATTTTAGAGGTGTGAGATTATTTACTATAATTTATTCCATTCACTCAGTCACTAAAAAGGGCTGGGGGAAGATTGTATTAACCAATAAATATGACAGATGTGATTTAACATCTTATGATGCAGTGACATGGAAAAATAGATGATGGTTCAGAAGAGTATTTTGTTGTTTTCAATACCAGTTAATTTACATCATATAAAGACACCAGTTCCAGCAATGTGTGTGAATGCAAAGGAAATCATTCCACATCCACCATAATTGGATTAATACCTTACATTGCAGCACACTAACTATTAGTAACTCACTGAACAGCATTCCTTTTGTTTTGAGCTCTATGGCATAATTAGTTTTTAAACTGGTGGATTCCGTGCAGAAGCAGAGTGTTCTGTTCCTTATTGACTCTTAAGTGACATTTCTAATACCCTTTACATAGAGCTGTCACTAAAAATTACTTGGAAATGTAATCTATTTGGGAATTTTGCTCTCTCTCTCTTTTTACTTGAGATTTTCATAAGGAGCACATGAGTCTGCAACGGCTGGCAATTCATATCCAAGTTCAGTAATTCCACATGCTGAACCAGGGAGCTCCAAAGATCAAATCATTTTAATCAAAAGCTCTGTAGCTACTACTCATCAGAAGGCTACACACAAATAGAGAATGTCCACATTCTGATTTGATGTGTCTACTTTGCATACTGCACACTCAACAGGAGATAATGTAGCAGAACAAAAAATGCTATAATCAATTCTGTTGATGTTATGCACCATATCCTCAGCTGATTGAAATCATCATAATGCTGATGATCTGGCCCATAATATCAAGAGAAGTGGATCTGAAATACTCAGATCTTCTCCCCACCTTTTTTTTCCCTTCTCTACCCACTCATAACCTATTTATTTCAAAACTGGACCTTTAATAACTCCAATCATCTGAAGAAGTGGATTGTGCCCAGTCCCACAAATGCTCATGATACCAACAACATGTTTTTGTTAGTCTTTAAGGTGCTAGAAGACTATTGGTTGTTTTTTAAGTTTTTCCTATAGAACTCAGTAAGTCTAACTGACACCTCTAGAATTCCCTCCCTCAGTATCATTGTTTGGGGCAACTTTTCCTTCAAAGAAAGAGCCAGAAAAAAATATTAGTCCTGGAAATAGCAGGAAATCACTGGAAACTGAAGGGCACTTAATAATCCTGTCAGAAATGTGAAATCTAGGACAAAACTCTTATCTTGGATAAAGATCAGAGAAACATGGCACTCATCCACAAGCACGGGGATAGAGGGTAGAGTTCCATAAATGAATTTCCTTTTAAAAGAATGAAGATTAAAAAAACAATCTAAGTTCCATGCTCCAATTCAAACAAACAAAAAAAGAGAAGGAACTTCACAATTAAAAAAGAATAGAGGAAGGGATTCAAAGCAGAAACATAAGAACATTTCACCTATGAAGCTGCGAATGCTGCTATTATTAATTAATTATTCAACTTTTTGGTGCTGAGCAAATTCAATTCCTTCCTTCATCCTCAGTAAAAATATACAAAAAGCTAAGCCATTTTGTTCTCCTGGTATTTTTTGCATAAGATCAATGTTTTGCATTGGACTGTGTATTGATTCATCTGATGCTTGTCTGTCTACCTTTCATAATGGATTTCTTTGCATTTTTCATTTTTAAAGGAAGCAAGAGAGGACAGTGGTAACATTGAAAAGGAAATATCTTCAGTTTCAATTTTTGGTATAAATTCATTATTGCAGTGTCACATGTTGACTCAAATTTAGAGGAGCTCATTAACCCCTTACATGTTTTAACCGCTGCCCCAGCTCCCATTTATTATCCCGATGTGTAAAAAACTGATTCATTTTTGAGTATGTAATTTCTTAAACTGTACCACCACCATGTCATCTAACTACCTGGCACAGAGTTACTGTATTAATTGATCGAGTTGGAGGTATAGAGCAAACAAAAAACCCACCCCACGTGCCTTCATTGCTATGAAAGAAGGTGGTGTAGGGGGAAGGCATCTCTCAGCTGTATCTAGAGAATGAATAGCAAGCCTGCCTACTGTAGGCTTGTTCTGTAATTAAAGCAGCACATCTGAATCTCATAGAATCTTATTGTGTTCTTACTTACCTGGTATGAACTGGCAGACCCCATTGTGGTCTTTGCTGCATTCAAGTCAGAGGCTAAACGAGGACCTTGAGTGTAGGTCGCAGAGCAGAGTGTGACTCCCGAAGTAGGCTTATACTCTTTAAACAGGTAGAAGTGAATGAGCAGGTGTCTTATAAAGTGACTCAGAGCCCCTCCCTTCTTCCATGACTTCTAAAAATTAAGTAATTCCCACCTCCTTCTTCCTATTAGGTATGGGAACTGGAAAGATTTCCTTTGCAGGTATAGTGACTGGGGGAAGGGACAGTGCAGGAAAGGGGCCCCATCCTAATTATGGGGGCCTAGCATATAGAAAATAAGATTGTGTTTTTATACAACTCCTTTAATTATAAGCAATGCCAAAGTGCTTTTCAAACTAAAAGAGAGAGGAAAGGGTGCAATGTCAGGATAGGGGTTTACTATAGACCATCAAAATAAGAAAGGTTAGAGGATGAGACATGTCTAGAAGAGAGAATAAAAATAACCAAAACACAAGACTAAGTAGTAATGGGGGATTAACTACACTGATGGGGGAATAACAACACTACGATGATACCTGTTGGAAAAATAATATGGCAAATTACAAAATGCTCAATAAGTTGTGATAACGTACTAGGGACAACTTTTTCTTTCAGAGGATGCCGGAAGTAACCAGAGGGACAGACATTTTAGTCTCAGAGGTCTTTAATTACCTGAAAATTAAAAAGGAATCCCACAATAAATAAAAACATGGGTGAAATGCTAAGGAAGGGCACAAAAGTATATCACAAGCACATAGGGACAAAACCAGAAAGGCTAAGGCACCAAATGAGTTACACCTAGCATGGGACAGGACAGGACAGAAGTTCTATTCTAAGAAAATCGTAGGTCCTGTATTTTATGGGTTTGGTCACTGAGATGCCCTTGTGACTGTGACTTGATGTGCTGACGCACCACTCAGCCCACCTTCCTGCCCTCATCACCCCTCAACCTTCAGGCCTGCTGGTATCTTCTAAGCATATTTCCATAAAGCATATGGATAGCTCCATGATACTCTTACTTAGGGGAAAAGGAGTGCTTATAACTCATGATAAGAAGGCAGCTCGGATGTTTAATGGCTATTTTGTTTCAGTCTTCACTAAAAAAGGTAAATTGTGACCAGATATTTAACACAATTATTAACAGCAAAAAGGGGGAAAGACTATAAGCCAAAATAGAGAAAGAACAGGCTAAAAAGTATTTAGATAAACTTGGGGGCTGTGCCCTCTGCTCACTATACTCACCTACCCCTTTTCCTCTCCCCTTCCCCCCGACTGCTTTCGCTTCACTGAGAGCGCCTATTGATGTTGATGACGTCATTCTGTCACCCAGTAGGAACATTTGGTCTTCCAGCAGGAAAAACTTTTTTATATATAGAGGGAGAGATTAGATGTACAAAAGTCAGCAGGGTCTGATGAAGTTCACTCTAGGGTACAAAAAGGAACTCATTGAAGCAATCTTGGAACTGCTAACAATTAACTGAGGACAAATGGGTTAGGACCCAGAGGACTGGAGAAGGGCAAACATTGTACCTACCTCTTAACAAAACAAAACAATATAGGCCAGTCAGGTCTGGAAAGATACTGGAACAAATTATTAAACAATTAATGTGTAAGAATTTAAAGATTACTAGAGTTATAAATAATAGTCACCATGGTTTTGTTAAGAACAAATCACGGCAAACCTATCTAATTTCTTTCTTTGATAAAGTTGCTGGCCTTCAAGCTGGGGAGAAGTTGTAGACAGAATACATCTTGCTTTTAGTAAGGCTTTTGACACAGTTCCACATGACTTTCTCCTAAGCAAACTAGGGAAATATGATCAAGGTGAAATTACTGTAAGTTGAGTATGAAGAATAATTATCAATGAACCACTATCAAACTGGGAGGGCACATCTCGTGTGTATGGGCGGGGGGATAGGGGGGCGCATTGCAGGGGATCTGTCCTGGATCCAGTATGTAGTATGAGGACAAACACAAAAGGCACTTGTGCACAGCAGGGCTAAAGCCAAAATAAGCTATGCAACTTGATCTACGTCACTTGTATAGCTTAAGTTGAAATATCTTATTTCGGCTTTTGGCGCTGTCTACACAGCAGGAAGTCCGAGGAAGAACACTCTTCCTCCAACTTCTCTTTACTCCTTATCAAATGAGGGTTACAGGAGATAGGGTTTGGCTACACTACCCTCCTAATTCGAACTAGGAGGGTAATGTAGGCATACCGCACTTGCAAATGAAGCCCGGGATTTGAATTTCCCGGGCTTCATTTGCATAAGCCGGGCGCCGCCATTTTTAAATCCCGGCTTGTTAGTCTGTAACTTTAAAAAACAAGTAGCCCTGTAGCACCATAGGGTATGTCTACACTACCCCGCTAGTTCGAACTAGCGGGGGTAATGTAGTCATCCACAATTGCAAATGAAGCCCGGGATTTGAATTTCCCGGGCTTCATTTGCATGAAGCCGGCCGGTGCCATTTTTAAATGCCGGCTAGTTCGAACCCCGTGCCTCGAATGAGGAGTACAGCTAGTTCGGATTAGGAAGCCTAATCCGAACTAGCTACTCTGGGCCGCGTGTAGCCGCGCGGCACGGGGTTCGAACTAGCCGGGATTTAAAAATGGCGGCGCCCGGCTTATGCAAATGAAGCCCGGGAAATTCAAATCCCGGGCTTCATTTGCAAGTGCGGTATGCCTACATTACCCCGCTAGTTTGAAGTAGCGGGGTAGTGTAGACATACCCTCAGAGTGAAAAGTCCTCCAGCTCTATATTATTTTGACATTGTCAAAATAACTGCTTGTAGTGTAGACGCGGCCTATGTTCTTTCGGAATAACATCAGTTATTCTGAAATAACACTGCTGTGTAGATATACACAAAGAAATATGCTTTAAGTGGCAACTAGAGAACTTACTAAGCTTGCTGCAACACATGTTTTGTCTTCTCTGGTAATTGCAAATGACTAGATATCCTATAACCACTCTGCACCTCCCTTTCTTTATATTTAATTTTTTTTTTAATTGTTAACCCGTGGATATACAGACAATTCAAAACAAACTTCCAATTCTTTATCAGCATTACATTACTGTTTCCCCTTATCAGGTGCATTTAAATAGTCTTGAGAAGTATTCTAAATACCAAGTCTTTGAGGGGATCTGATCATTAGTCTTTCACACCACGTTCTCACTTACATTGAGTTTGTGCTTGCAATTCCCCACAGAGGGGCCTCACTTCCTGATAGAGTATCTGCCAGTCAAAGATTTTTTTTTCATTGTGTCTGGAAAATGTTGAAGATGGGGGAGGTCTAGGTTGGATATTAGGAAAAACTATTTTCACTAGGAGGGTGGTGAAGTACTGGAATGGGTTACCTAGGGAGGTAGTGGAATCTCCATCCCTAGAGGTTTTTAAGTCTCGGCTTCACAAAGCCCAGGCTGGGATGATTTAGTTGGGGTTGGTCCTGCTTTTAGCAGGGACTGGACTCAATGACTCCTGAATTCTCTTCCAACCCTAAGATTCTATGATTCTAGTCTTCCAATTTTATTGTCCAGTCTCAGTTCTGGTAGTGTTTTTCTTCTGTGTGGAGTACTGACGCCTTGTTGTGGCAGGATTTATATTTCAGTAGTCTGTTTTTAAAATGCCTTCAGTTCAGGCCATTTAGGTTTTAGCTGCATTGGCACCATTTATAAAAGTGTCCTTAGTCATTTTCCTGTCAGAATTCTGTTGGAGACGGTCTAGATGCAAGCAGCATTGACTGATGTGGCAGAGGTACTTTATTGGAATCCACTGATTTTTGCAGAAGTCTTTTTAAAATTTGCAATGCTTTCTCCATCTCCCCATTGCTCTGCAAATACTGTAGTCTATTAGAGTACATCTTCAAAATAACGTAGTCTGCGTCTACACAGCAGGCAATTATTTTGAAATACTGTCAAAATACTGTCAAGCTGGAAAATAATAATAGAGATGTAGCCGTGTTAGTCATATTTACTCTGCTGACACCATTATTGGACCTAACCAATTCGGTTATAAGATCAAGAATACATATTCCTGCTCGTCCAGAAATATAATTTATGTCATAATGTGCCGACAGTGTCCGTCTGCTGTGTACATTGAACAAACGTCTCAGACACTTCGCCAAAGAATCAATGCACACTAAACGGATATCACACAGTATCACAAAGAAAAACAGTTTCTTGCCATTTCAACCAGAAAGGGCATTGTCTCAACGACTTGATTACCTGCATCCTGCTTCAAAGGCATTTTAACACCAGACTTGAAAGAGAAATCTCTGAACTGTCATTCATGCTTAAATTGGAAACTTTATGCTGGGGTCTTAAAGACACTAATTATCTTACCCATTACAAAGATAGCTTCCCCACTTATCACCTCTAATATCATTAGCTCATAGACATTTACCTCTCCCCTCCCCCTCGTCCCCCCTCTGTTCTGAAATTTGATTTGTCCTTTTTATGTGTGCATTTTTTTTTATTGTATCCCTTTGGTATATGTGCTTGTGACAATTTTCTTCCACAATTTGATCTAAGGAAGTGGATCTGGCCCATGAAAGTTCATCACCTAATAAACCATCTTGTTAGTCTTTAAAGTGCTACATAGTCCTGTTTTTTGTCAAGCTGGAGGACTTCTTACTCTGACTCCTGTAATTTTAAATAAATGAAGATATACCTGTCTCCTAGAACTGAAAGGGACCTTGAAAGGTCATTGAGTGCAGTCCCCTGCCTTCACAGCAGGACCAAGTACCATCCCTGACAGATTTGCCCCAGATCCCTAAATGGTCCCCTCAAGGACTGTGTTCACAACCCTGGGTTTAGCAGGCCAGTGCTCAAACCACTGAGCTATCCCTCCCCCCATTGTATGAGGAGTAAGGGAAGTCGGAGAAAGAGTGCTCTATTTCAAAATAAGTGATGTGTAGACACTCCCAATTTTGCAATAAGCTACACAACTGATATAGCTCAATTTGCATAGCTTATTTCAAGTTAAGCCCTGCTGTGTAGACGCACCCTTAGTACAAAGTTCAAAATCAAACTCTATTCAGGCTACAAATATTTCAGTGGTAAACTGAGG